CCCTAGTTTTTAGGTGTTTGTGAAGTTTCTGGTTTAAAACAGCTGTTTTTAAAGATTTTGTGGCTTTTATAAAAACACCTTCATTCTGACAGCCTTACACCCGTAATGATCGCACCAGCATCCTCAACTGCACCTGATGTCACAACCTTAAGTCCGTTAATTATTGGCAGCAGACCCATAACCTATACGTATCAATCAACTGTTCTCGGATTAACAATCGACAACAAGCTCACATTCAAGGGTCACGCAAAATTCAAACTCAAGCAATGCTGGTTTGCCTGGCACAGGATCACCCAAAACTCCACCCGCCACAGAGGTCTGAATACAAGCTCACTCAGAATGCTCTTCAGAACAGTGGTACTCACAAAACTTCTATATGCTGCTCCTATATGGCTAAAAGATAACCTCGACACTTTCAAAGACTTTTATGCCAGGGTCCTCTTGAAGATAAGCGGGGCCACTCACCATCCTCCCAAAGATTTGACCTCTGTTGCGCTTGGGATTCCACCCCTTGAGATATCCTACAAGATGGTCACTATAAAATTTATAATAAAAGCACTTACAAGTGACCCATTTATGCAAGGGCTCATCTTGCAGCCAGAGGAGGCAAAGGCCCACCGATACCAGCACCATATTGACGAGATATGTAAGTTTCTAACGTGGAAAACTGGGTCTAAAGAACTAAACAGAAGCAAAATAGACCTTCTGACTAGTGTCCAGAACGATGTTGTCAGCTACTCAAAAGAAGAAATAATCCGCTTCATGGAGTTTACTTGGAATAAAAATCTCCTGCTGAACCCAAGAATAAATCAGAGTGAGGGTCAGATACTGGATAACATTGATGAAAGGAGCAAACGATTATTTCCTCGCTACTCAAGCAGAAACACGGATACTAAGGTTATGTCTCTCCTACATGGCCATGACATCACCTTTGCAGCCTTCCAGGCAAGGGTAGCCAACAACTGCGACCCTCAGTGTCCAAATTGTAAGGTATTGGACACCAATTATCACAGACTCTTCTACTGTCCACTGTGCAGCTGCTCTTACAGGGAAACCCTGCAGGACCATTCCTTTAATGACCAACCATCATGGTCTATCTTAAGAGATGATAGTGATAACAGCATCACTGCCTTCCGCTCTCTAGCACAAATTGCCATTGGTGAACTATCATAAAGATGATTATTATAGTGCTCATCTCTTGTGACATTTATTCTTCTTCAGCCTCTACTACTCACTCTACTGCCTCATCTTCTGAACATCATTATCTTTAGTATAGTTGAGGATTCTCAACACCCACTTTCAAGTTGAGTACTCTCGACCCACTTAGTCCACATGCCTTGCAAACTTACAGCACGGTATTTGTAATGGTCTAAGTTCCTAATACTCGCCAAAGATGGTTCCTCTAGTCAACCGTAGGAGAAGAGAAAGCTCAACAACAAATTAGATGGCTGCATTTTGTTTTCATTTTATTAGGTCCTAGTATTTATTCCTATTGTCTTAAAGTTTTAAGAGAACTCACCTTAAATTATTTTAATGCAGTCACTCAGATAAGTTTATATCAGGACAATTCAATAAAGACACATACTCTGCCCACAATAAGGGGCCATAATTGTTTCAATTATGTAACTGTATAGAATTATTATTATTATTATTAGTCTCCAAAACGAGGTGTGAAGGTAAATTAACTTTGAGCCTTGTTTTGGCGACTGCTTAATCGATGGGCAAGTAGGTATTTGTTTTTTAGCAGTGTTGAACATTGAAACAATTATAAAATGTTTATTTTTATCTTATATAACGTACAATATGAATGACATATGCTATAGTGACGTAACATATATAGTGCAAAGAATTAGTAACTTGCTAGATGTGATTTAATAGTAATCGACGTTGACATTTTGCAATTTACAGTTGCACAATGTTAGCGTCGATTATTACTAACATTTATCTGAATTTAATACAATTACATGTCACATATAAATTGGGTAGCTGAATGAAACTCGTGCCTCAGAATTTTCCGTTATTAGCATTGCAGTGTCTGTACTGCGTTAACGACCGAAATTTTCCCAATATGCAATAATTATTTTGCTTCTAAAATTCTCTGATAATTAATAATATATCGTGACATGTAATTGTAAGATAACAAACCTCGCGCGCGCGGCGCTTACATCTGCACCTGAGAATCTCTCAGCAATGTGTGGCTGTCTGCGCGGCGGGCTGTGTATTGTGTATATAGCTGAATTTAAATTTAGATTTATTTGTAAATGTATAATAATATTAAATATGTATTGATTGTTTTGTGGTGAATAAAAATTTTGTTTTACTAAAAAAAATTTTGTTTTACTCTCATGAGTTGGCAGAGATATTAGGGGAAAAATCTTCTACTGAAAAGAACTTCCTCATAACGTTTTACAGTAGCATTATCCTTATTATGTAGATCAATTTTGAAATCACCTGCCAGGTAACTGCATTTAATTTCGGCAAATTATCGAGAATTGCTAAGAGTTCTAATGATGCAACATTTACATCACCACTTGGAGGGCGATAAACTATACACCAACAGTGACCGGAGTATTCTTGCTGCTTAAAGTAACAAACAAGTTTTTAGAGATATGGGACAAATTGCCATTTACTGTGGCACTGAGGGTATCACATACATAAAGAGCGACTCCAGTGCCTTTTCGTTTATCTTGCTGAGTGTTTTGGTAGAAACTATTGTATCCAGTCAATTGGTAAAGGTTATTTAATTCGGGGCCTTCATTTATTTCTGCTAAAGGTATGACCGAAAACTTCATATATCTCTGTAGTTCTCTTGCCAGAGTATCAAAGTTAGATTTATTACCATCGATATTTTGAAATAGTAATGATGAGTACTCGTTCATTTGGTTGCAAAATGTTTTATTAAATTCTTGAACATTATATGGGTTACAGTTATTAAGTGATCAGTTGATGTTAACTGTTTACAAGTGTTTCATCAATGCCAGTACTATTTTTTTCAGAGTCAGTATCTTCATATATAAACGGATTGTAACGAGTAGTGTACAAAGTTAGGGCAGTAGAAATCTTCATATATTTTGTTTGTACTGGATTTAATATAGCATTTATGGTGCAAAGCACAGTCAGACCTAAAACATATTGGCTAATGAAAATGAATTTTGTACAGCGACAGGGCATACCTCTTTGGTCAATTTATTCATGGGTACGGTACGTAACCTTCCCTGTGTTGAGCAGCAGCAGGAAAGGAACCGCTCATCGTCTGGGAGTATGAGCATAGTGTTGAGTCTCAGGAATATCCATCTTAGACGACAACTCCATCTGTCAAATTATATGTTTAGAATCATACATGACAATTGTCCTACAAACTTTATGAACAAATTTAGTTACATATCAGGAGGTAGTAGGAGCGGCGAAAGCTGCAACCTATATGTATAGATCAACATCACATAAAAACTTTCAATACTTGGGGGCAAAATGTTGGATATAATGTTCCAACAATCACGGAATATTGCCGATGTTCAAATGTTAACGTGATTTACTAATAGAAAACAGTACATGTCACTATAAAATTGGAGCCTAATGAAACTCGTGCTCAGAATTTCCCTATTACATTGCAGTGTACCACCTGAACTGCTTTAACGACCGAAATTCCATATCAATAATATTTTGCTTCTAATTCTCTGAATTATAATAATCGTGACATTATATTTGTCAAGATATCAAACCTTGCGCGCCGCCTTACCATTCTGACTGGATTCTCACAATGATGTGGGCTTCTGCGCGCGGGTGTGATTGTTATAAACAACTTTTAATTAATTATTTGTAACTAATATATTAAATATGGTATGTTTTTTAGGTACCAATTAAAATTTGTTTAACTAAAATAATTTGTTTTACTTCATGAGTTGGCAGATATTGGAACACATCTTCTACTAAACACTTCTATAATTGTACATGCATTATCTATTGTAGATCAATTTGAAATCACTGCATGGTAACTACATTTAATTTCGGCAATTATCGAAATTGCTAGAATTTTAATGATCAACTTTTACATCACACATGAGGCGACAAACTATACCCAACAGTGTCCGATTATTTTTCTTCTGCTTAAGTAACAACAAGTTTTAGAGATATTGACAATTGCCATTACTGGCACTGAGGCTTCACATACATAAGCGACTCCATGCCTATTTCGTTACTTGCATGAGTGTTTTGTAGAACATGACATCAATTGTAAGTATTAATTCGGGCTTCATATTTGCTAAATGTATTACCGAAATTCATATATCTGTAGTCTCAGAATCAGTAGATTTATCTAGCTCTCATTTTCCATGGTTTTGCCTCACAGGAGATATTGTGGTCTTTTCTAAATATAACTGTAATACATTGATGTAAAGTTTATTTGAATTTTGAAATATATTAATAAACATCTTAATCTGCACTGAAATCAGGTACCCCTTAAAATAAAATTTTCAAAAAATAATTTCTGGTTGATATCTGGCAAAGCACCTTCTAAACCCCACGAGAACCGTAACTTAATCAATGATTAGTAATCATGCAGAAAGAATTTTTTATTTTCAAAAATTTTATCGAACTGAGTATCATATTGTTAAATAAACTCAAAGCTTATTCAAAACATGTAACTTACAGTGAGCTCAGAAAACGACTAATTAAATCAATTTTGTCAATAATATTCTAGTAAGACTAAATTTTTAATAAGGAATGACCCAATGGGCCCTCCTTAATTGTGGTCTTTTTGGGCACTGACTCCCCCTAATATAGCATCCCCTCTAATCAGTGGTCAACTGGGACAGGAACATCATTCGGCCAGATTTACCAAAATACTGTTTATTTCATTATTGAACTAATAACAACTTTGATGTTACAAGTTACTAAATCACACTTCTAAAGTTGTGAGTTTGTCGTAAATTATATAATTGTATGTATACATACTTAGAAATCAGCAAGCCTTATTATATTGTAACTAACCTTACTGCAGTAGGAATGACTAAGTAGATGTAATGCAATGAAGAAATCGATATTCTGGATTGTCATATTCACATCGTTGTTGGCACTTGCATCATGCAGTTCAGATGGAGAGAAAAGTGCTGACAAAGGCTCTAATGACTGTCCAGGCACCGCTGATGATAAATCTGAACACAAAGATAAGGAACATCATGGAATCTCTATTGTGAGTTTGAACATTGAAATGGTGAAAACTCCTTTGGTTTTAGTGATATGGGTTTTGCTAGCCGTTGGAGTCAAGGTTATTTACCATACAGTGGAGAAGTTTGCAAAATTTTGCCCTGAGTCTTGTGTATTGATAATATTTGGATTGCTAGCTGGTCTCATTCTGAAAGAAATAGTCAGTGAAGATAATATGTTGATTTCATTTGACTCAACCACATTCTTCCTGTATTTGCTGCCACCTATAGTGTTGGATGCTGGCTGGTGTATGCCTCCTCGACATTTCTTTGACAACATTGGATTGATCTTGTCATTTGCTATATTTGGAACATTGATTAACTCCTTTGGGATTGGCCTAGGTCTTCACTATTTGATTCAAGCAGGAGCAATTGATGTTACAAACGCAGCACATAATCCAAATGGAACAGATGTGGATCAGACAATTGACTTACCTGGATGTTTGCTGTTTGGATCTCTGATTGCTGCCGTGGACCCAGTTGCAGTGCTGGCTGTTTTTGACTCTGTCCATGTCAATGAGGTATTGCACATTATTGTTGAAGGTGAATCTCTTCTCAATGATGCTGTGTCAGTGGTTTTATATAGAATTATGACGGTTGTTGTTGGAACCGAAGGTGGGTTAGAGACCAAAGAATATGGAGTTGGCCTCATAGCATTTCTGGTAATTAGTGGAGGAGGAACATTGATAGGACTGGTATACGCAATCATAACATCGCTCTTTACCAGAGTTTTAACTCATGTGAGAGTTGTTGAGCCTCTAGTGGTATTCTTCTTTGCATATTTGTCATACATTACAGCTGAATTGTTCCATTGGTCAGGTATTTTGGCTATAATCTTTTGTGGCTTTGGTATGAAGCGCTATGTAGAAGAGAATATAAGCAGAAAATCCCACACAACCATCAAATACTTTATGAAGATGCTGGCTGTTATATCAGAATCTGTGATCTTCATGTTCTTGGGGCTTGGTATGGTGACTGCAGACTTTGATATCAACTGGGCTTTCATAGGGTGGTCAATAATTCTGTGTCTTGTAATCAGATCATTTGTTGTGGTGTCATTTGTTGCCATATCAAACAGGTTCCGGATTCAGAAGATTGCTAAAGTCGATCAGTTTATTATGGTTTATGGTGGTCTTCGTGGCGCGATATCATTTTCACTTGCATTCATTTTATCTGAGGGTCTGCCATGGAAGAATCTGGTTATAACCACTACATATGCTGTTATCTTTTTCACCGTGTTCATCCAAGGCATTACCATTGGTCCTCTTGTAAAACTGCTTCATGTCAGAACACACGAAAAGAAAAAGCCCACTTTGAATGAGGAGATCATTGAACACATTATGGCACATGTGATGTGGGGTTTCGAGGAGGTAGTAGGAAAACACGGTGAAAACTACTACAGGCAGTGGTTTGATCACATTGACAACACCTACCTCATGAGATGGTTTACAAACAAAAAGCTTGACAAACATGCTAAACACGGTGATGCAGTGGATATTCTTGCTGTGTTTCACAACTTGGAGAAGAAGGACGCAATGGAACTTGCAGATAGAAATGACGTCTTCGACAACTTACATGGTAGAGCCTCTAAATCTGATGAAACATTCGCTGTTGCAAACGTAGTGAAAGCTCCCCAACTTCCCTGTGTTGACGAGTCGGTAGCTCTTGCTGATCCTAATGTTAAGTATCAGAAGTTAGACACTTCAATTAGTATGGATGCAGACGAAGATCACTTCAATGACATCAAGGACCGGACGTTTGCTGCCATGAAGCTGAACGCTCGTCCTGCACCTAAGACAAGACATCGCAGAAACCGGCTTACTCATGCTGTAGAAGACCATGATATCGACCACTTTGGTACACTCTCTGAAGTACCAATAATTTTACCAGATTCTCACCACAGCATGCCTTACCATCAACAAGCCCCTATGGAAAAGCCGCACCACCATCATCATCAGAGAAGACATCATAAAGATCATCACGGCCACAAAAAGAGTTCGAAAAGTGGTAATGGTCATCACCATGGTGACAGGAAGCATCACCACCGGCATCACCGCAAGCATGAAGGCACTGATGACCATCTCTCTGATCCAGGAAATTCCGAACAAGCTAATGTCGAAGAAGGAGTTTCTCAGAACGAGCCTGATAACAATGAAACAACAAGTCAACCACCAGCTTTAGACAGCGGACCTGAAGCGCTTGATAAGCCAGATGAGGTGCAAATGTATGATTTCGGAAACACGATGCCTGAGGTTGACCCTCGGGGCCATCCTGACGAGAACATTTAAATTGTTGTGGACATTTAAGTTGGTATATTTGATATAATTAATTCGATCTATCTGCAGTCAAAATCTCAACATGCAGTCATCAGAAACTTATGTATTTCTATCAACTTAAATTTAATACCTTTCAATATTGAATACTATTTCGATTTGAATCTTGTCCAAGTTGGGATTTGATTGCAGTGCGATATTTTAGCGAAGAATTTTAGTCACTTAGGCATGATGTTAAAGGTTGCTTGTTGGGTAATACGTTTAATGACATCCAATAATATGTCATCATGCTTACGTTTGACTGTAACCTTAATCCTCATACAGAATAAAAGCCTGCTATGCTTGTGACAATAAAATTCGAGTTTGTTTTCAGTTTTATCTTAATCTGGGAGTTGCTTTATTGAAAATATTATTCTGAATTCGATTAGCAGATTAAATTGATAATTATACATGATTTTAGGGATGATATGGTAGTTTTGCTCGATTTTTATTGTATTCACCATTAAATTTAATTTTAGATGATGTGAGAATAGTTTGATTTGTTTGATTAGATTCGAACCAATATAAATACTAAAATACTTGTTAAATGAGTGTTTAACCTATCATCAATAATGCATGCTCTTCCAAATTACCTCACAATTCAATATTCACCAGGACTCAAGGACTGTTTTCTAACATACAGCACCTGTTTTTAACAGCAGGGAAAGTTAAACTGAAAAAATGTAAACTCAACTAATTATTGATGTTAGGAATCCCCGCTGAGTATGTTGTTTTAAATTATAATTGCAGATATTGTTTTATCAACTGATTATTCGACAGATGCTTTTTAGTCTTATTGTGCGGAGGAAATTTGTTAAAACATGAAATTAATCTCATTCAAAATTGTGAAGTTCAAAATTGTGAAGTTTTTGACAAAAGTTCCGTATTCTATTAAATATTTGAAATTTTCATACCGCGCAATACCAATTCCCTAACAAAACAAACTATTCCCTGTTAGTTTAGAATGCCTTGATGAAGGAGTACAAAGTGGTGGTTTTAGGATCAGGAGGAGTAGGCAAGTCTGCTATAACACTACGCTATGTCCAGGGTCTCTTTGTGGCCCGGTATAATCCCACTGTTGAGGACTTCTACAGACACCACGCTAGACTTGATGAGGAGGAGGTGGGTCTTGTTAACTTATTTGGTACTTTATCAGTTTCTACTTTCTGTTGAGTGTTGAAACAGTGTTTATCAATAACACTGAATAGTTGTTCAATTATATCATTGCCATACTACTATACTAGACTTGCGGTTAATACTTAAAAATATTGGCAGTGATTTCGGCTGAAAGAATGTTTGTACTTGGTAAAGGACATGTTTTTGATTGCATTGATTCCAATGACTACAGTAAAAAAAAATTTAAAAATACAAATTTACACAAGAATACATTGCAACCATGCGACTCATAAACAATATTCCAATCCGGATTTTACGCTACAATAATATACGACGTCAAGTCAATAGCCCTGGCTTGTTGCCATTAATCTGGATGGGTTCTCTTTTATTAGTCCAAAATTGTTAATTATAGAAATGTTTGACGTAGTGCAAACAAAGATCTGGTTACTTAAGACTAGTTTCTTGTTCTAAACCAAAGATCTGTTTTCTTGTTCTAAGTGCCGTTTACAAGACTCTGGTTCTGACTGGTTTAAAAGGCTCTACAGAGTAGAGTCTACTCTGATTTCTTACTCTATATTGTGCACTACTAAGTCCATACAATTCACGGTTACTCACTTGCGAATACATTCAACCTGCGTTAAATATAATGAAACTATGCTTGCGTGTGCGCATAAATGCTACATTGTCAGCACAATATTACAAATTGTTAAATTTAACCCGGGTTAGTAGCAGATTATGACTAATAGCTGGAATTGTCTCGACAACGCGTGTTGTAATTATGTTGTAATCATAAAGCATGCGAGGTTGACTATATTAAGATATGTATAATGTACATACCAGGATGACTGTCTTATAGATAAAACCCCGATTTACTGCGGAGTTTGGAGGAAGGAAATTACCGCGGTAAATCGGGGCGCGATAAATCGGGGTTTTACTGTACACGAAACGGTTGTCTTTCATCTGTTTTATACCAGCAGAATGTTTTGGCTGCAATTGAACTAACATATCACACTTATCGTATCCTCTGACACAACTCTAGCGCTCTATGACGTGTTACACCAATAGTTACCCAATAGTTACCCTCTTCTTCCACTACTAGATGAACATTTGATGGCTTCAATATTGAATATAATATTATTCTCACAGCCGGTGTGTGCTAAAGCAGAATGTATTCCTGTAATTGAAGGATAGCTTCCGGTACTACCACAAACCTCATTCTAAATAGCACGACCAATTTGTAGATTGCAATTCAATTATCCAAATTCGCCACTTAGTAGTACTATCACCCTCACACTAGTAAAATGGAGGTCAGTGATTTGAGTTGGGTATAGTGAAAATTGGGATATTAAAATATATTAGTGTGTAAATCTTAGAAGGCATAATTGTTATTTGTATGTAACATATAATATAATTTTGTTGGTTAAACGTTATAACTTATTATAATCGATCAAAACGTCAGTCGGGAGACGAACATTTTTAAGGCACGTGGATAATAGCCTTAGCTTATTTGAGCCTTTTGAATGCACAATATTATATCTACCACGATACACATTTTCCTTTTATTAATGGATCGTTTTGAGAAAATTTTACCAATATTAACCACTATTTAGTTATTTAGTTCTTTATAATTGTAATTTAGAAATTAATCTTTGTTCCCTATTTTGTGGTCAGTGATATCTGGCTCCTAAGGGGCAAGTAGTAACCCCCATTAACAAAACTTTCGTTCCCAAATCATTGGTGACTGGTTAGTTAAGTGTAAAAACTGGACGTAGCTTGGTGTAACGTAGGTCATAAGCGCAAGCACCGCTGTCTTTACAGCATAAGAAATGTGGAGAGTAAAAATGGTAGAATCTAGGAAACAAACGAACGTTACCCCCTTTTGTATGTAACAAATATTCAAATATAACTAATAGCCTGTAACAGAATTACACTATAAATATCCCCACTGCACAGTAGAGTAAATGTAACTAACACGCCGTGTCCTCCGCAGGTGATGGTTGAGATCCTGGACACAGCCGGAACTGAACAGTACAGCTCCATGCACCAACTCTACATAGACCACGGACAAGCCTTTGTCCTAGTGTACGCCATCGACAACAAACAGAGCTTCAGAGACGTGGAACCGCTCCTGAACCAGATCCTGGACATGAAGAACGAGCGGCACTTCCCCATCATAGTGGCGGGAAACAAGAGTGACAGGGAGGAGTACAGAGAGGTGGACAGGGAACATGTGGAGAGGACAGCTAAGGATGTGTGGTTAGTTCCCCACATCCACACCAGCGCTAAAGAGGACCTCAATGTGGGGGAGTTGTTTAGGAGGGTGTTGAGGATGATCAAGAGTTATCAGGACAAACAGCAGGCTGTGAAGAGAAAACAATACAGTAAGAAGAGTAGCGGGTGTTGTGTGTTGTTGTGACTGTGAGGTTAACATTATAGGGTGGTGTGACCTTAAAATACGTGGTTCGACGTCATAACACGTGGTGTGACGTCATAGCACGTGACACATTGATCGCTATGACACAATATTTGACGTCTCAGTTGGTTTTACCTGTTTTTTTGTTTTTCTAGTGGACTCCTATCTAGTCTATTTTGTATACCTATCTTAGTATTAAATGTTCTTCGATTTATGTTCTAGGATCATTGAATTTGATGAATGATAAGAATTTAGTGCTGTCGCGCTGTAGTAGTATTCGATATATTGCCGCAACATATGCAAAGTGTTAGCTCATTATAACATTAATTTTATGGTTTACAGCTATGTTACTTGTAAGGTTTTGTGTATTATAATTTCTTTATAAGGAATTTAAGTTACAGGAGTTACGTAATCTGAGATGTTCTTAAGTGTCAGCTAATTATACCGACGCTGCTTTAGCATGGTTTAAGAATTAATCTGTATCTAGCATCTGGCACGTGACCTGCGTATATATATCATGATGACAACTAGGATATAACATTGGATTTAGATTATCATATATATATAGAGAAAACAAACTGTTCACCAATATACTTACAGATCTGCATGCAGTTTGGAGGTGAACCAAATGTTTCTGGCACATTAGAGCAAAGAACCAATGAGCATGCAGCATTGGAATATTAAGACCAAATGTCATTTTCACGTCTCTAAAAATATATAGTTCACCTCTCCATAAATATCTAATGCTTTTCTTATTTTTGACGCAATGTTTCCATTGGCATCACCATATTAGGAATCTGACAGCTATATTATGCAAATGCTAGCTGTAAATTCTAGGCTAATATGCTGACTTTCAAATTACATACGTTTCAAAATATTAGTTGGTTTTGTTTACATTGTAGCTGGCAACTTAAAAGGGGCCGAATTAAGTTATTATATTAACTTAAAAGTTAATCAGTTATTTAGTTAGCTTTTGAACGCTTATTTTGTACAGACAGAGTATTTTTATAAACATATTTTAAACCTTGACCATGTTTATGTGAACATGCAGATATTTAGTATATAAACATGGATTTTTTATTCGGGAGATCCAAACAAATCCATGATCGCTTTTATACGTGACGTCTTTTCTATCCTCCTGTATAAATTAACTGTCACTTACGAATAATTATTATATCTTACTATCACTATCAATCTAACTAGTCCTTTTATAATATTATCATTCAGCACATTACAAATCGGCCATCGGGGACATGTTAGAGGACTTTTAACGTTTGCATTTTCTAGAACATCAGCTAGTTTACTCTGGAAATTTTAGCGTTATTGTTTGAAGAGTTCGCATTTGTACTGAAGATTTAAATCTCATGCTTGTTTTTTTAGCTAGTAGTACAATCGTTTTATATATCACAATCAATACAATACAGTATGTAGATTGTAGAAATATGTCGCTGTTACATGTTGAATTATTTTATAATATTTGTGGCAAATTCTTGGTTGTAATAAGGGCTTGAGAGGTTTAGATTATTAGAGAGGCGGATTCAGGTTTATTTATTTTGGAGAGTAAAATGGAAATAATGAAGTGAGTTGTACTGATTTGGTGGCACGGAGGTTCTGCATATAAAGGAAAATGTTCTGGTAATATTATCCCTCTACTCAGCTTCAGTGGACAAATTGAACTGAAAAAATAGCTTATTGCAATGGACATTGCATAGAAATAATAATTGTATAATAGAATTTATCGCCTCATAGTACTTCCTACACTCGCTTTGGGCAAATTGAATTTTACAAGGGTATGTCCAGGCCATAGCTTTGAACCCGCCTATGCTTAAAAGCAGATAGGGATTTCAAATAAATCCATGTACTATTTATACTTACTTTTATTTGACGAACAGAGTAATTTATTTTTATGATGATAATATAATATGATACAGATTTTTTTTTCATTTAAAACCGATAACCGTAATGGTATTTCTTATTTTTTCATCAGAGGTAATAAATGTTACATAAATAATCTGGTTTTTATGTAGAATTTTTATTGTTTATAGTACGTATAGGATAAAATCCAAACTTTCTTAAAGTCATATAATCATTGTTTATATCAAATAATGTTATGTTTTCGATATAATTTGTGTGTTTGCTTTTGTATATAAAATGTAGCGGATAATACTAAATACCACACATTCCAACTAGACAGCTCCGCAGTCAAGGACAAACAATCATAAACTCAAACTAAATTTTAAACAATTGTTTAAAATCGCCGTCATCACGTCTTTCCGACCCCAACTCGAGGATAACGTCAATAAATCAGCTGTTTTAAAACTTGCCACCATACAATGTAATCACGGTAATTAGTCACATAGTGGAGCATATGGATGTGACACATTGTGTAGACTCTGTCTTCTCTACACCTACTCAGGTACGTATTATATCGGTGCTACTATAGTAGTAGTATACTATACACTATACATTATAGTATTATGTATAGAGCTGTATCAGTGTATTGTATCATGTTTTGCAGGGTACTCTGGAGTTGTTTAGTAATGTAGGAGCTACTTACTTTAGTCTTTACCATGGTGTTCTACATTGGACATGACTTTTATTTTCAGCAGAATCTTCCCTCGAGTCTTATCAAGAAACGTCAGAAATGTTGCACACAATATAAAAATACCCAACTATTTATCAATACAGGGGCTTTGTGGGGCGTGGGGCGTGAGGCGTGGCCCCCGCAAGGATTGGTCGCTGCCACAAAAAGAGGTGGACAAAGAAAAGATTTTGCTCATATATATATTTTATTTTTCTCGGTACACAAATTCTATTGAAAACTCTCAGTACAGCAGGACAAGTAAAGGCAACAAAAGAATTCTCTCAGAAGCAACTAACAACCTCGAAATATGTAGATGCAAAGTCGAAAGTATCCAAATTTGTTTTTTATTACACAAGAAAAAATATGTACGTGGTTCATATCTTATTATTCAAAAACTAAATGAACCTGTCTCAAAAATTAAATAGAGGTTATGAGCTATTGTCTTTAAGATTGTGTATAGAAGAGGTTTGAGAATAATAGGACACGTATGATAAACTTCTGAATGGGCAGGGTATTATATCTTGATACTATCCAGATTTCCGAACGGTTTAATCAAAAGAGTTATGGTACTGGTTTTTCCAGTATAGTTTCGACAAAACTCTGACCAAGCTTAATGATTATGGCTTTTTAAATCGGCCGTTGGTAAGTGGAGGGCTAAGTGGTTTAATTGATGGTTTTGTACTGCAAATGTGATATTAAAGTGACTCACTTTTTGTCCCTCTCTCACACTCTCACTCTCTCTCTCCCATTTACAGCTCCCCTAATTACTGCTTTGTAACCAAGACCCCCCCTCCTGACAGCAATATGACGTAATCATGGCCTGACCCCCCCCCCCCCCCCCCCTTTTTTGACTTTTTCCCTGGGAACACTTTTCTTTACGTTTGGTGCTGCCCTGATCATAGTGAGCCGAAGTCATTGTTATTACAATGTCTGGCCAATCACCTTTTAACTACTTTGTACTTACTATATCCGATAAATTTCTAAATTTTTTCACTATCAGAGTGAAATTGAGTGGAATTTGAATTAAAAATATTGTCAAATTGTCCCCCCCCCCCCCCCCCCCCCGTAATCAACAAATAAGCATTTAAAAACCCCCTTCCCCCTCGGTTGATTACGTAAATATATGTGAACGACCCCTATACACAATTATTTATAGTTTTCTGAGTATTATATATGTATGACGTACACTCAACAACTACGTAGAGTTCGAGGAGGTAGGGGCTACTGGAATCAAGTACGTTTGCTTTAATCAAGGACAATTTGCGAGTAAAACTTTAAGACAACACAACACGGTGTCAGTGTAACTTATTGTTTCCATAGGGTGGTGTAAGCTAATGTCAATGATCTTAGAATTGAGTAAAATAACAATAAGAACATGCTACTCATGAGTCAGCGTACCGTCTGGTAACTAGAAAATAAGTCTGCTAAGTTCTTGAGGAGTTAAGTTTGGGATTTAGTAGAGGCTCATTACGGGCAAAAATACGTGTTTTCTGCTATGAGTTTGGAGACCTAACCATTAATTGGACTCAATAATATGATGTGTAAGGATCAAGAAAATGTTTAGAAATATAAATACTAAATAGGACCTTATTAGTCACGTGCTATACCAATGTGCGTTTTAAACTTTGACAGTCTATAACCCTTAGGCCAATAAAGTATTTATAACTTTATTTATTTGAAAATTCGAATCGTTAATAACCCCTTTTAATTACGCTCTTTCTTCCACGTGACAACAACACGATTCATAACGATACTGGAAACTTCTGGGGTTTACAAGTTATCGTTATGTATAATTTAAGCATTTAATTATATAGGCATGAAGACCTTATAGCTTTATAGTCTTCCGTAAGGGCTGCAATCACCTTCGGATTGCAGGTTGCATGTCTAGATTTTTTCTTTCTATTATGTCGGGCGGCAATTACACCTTAACACTTGCACAGTTTAGCAACAGTTTAGCCACGTTCCTATATCTAATTATATTTTACTGAACAACTTAAATTATTTATTAAATTATCGTCCCCTCTCCCACGATCTTTCACGTGCCTGCATCACCTGATTAAACACGTGGGGTCACCTCATGTTTTTCCTTTTCTGAACCAACATAAGTCGCGAGCCTCTTACCCTTTTTGTTATTGTACTCCCCCTTTCAAAATTTTCAAGCTACGCTACTCTGTTTGTACGTTATACTTTGCACTGTTTATACTTTTGCAATTCAACTGCGATAGTGAAGTCCCGGCCGTTGGCACGGGTTACACTAGTAATGAATAAATTCCTGGAGTAAAACGGTAGTGAAGTAGTGAGATCATGTAAACCAACTACTGATAATGAAAGTGAAGTAACCCTCAATATTCGTTGTATTTGGTGTGGTTGCAACTTCCTGAAATAGATACCCTTGCAGGTACCACCCGTATTCGCACTCAGTATTGAGTTAGGTCACTTTCCAATACGAGATTGGGAACGGGTTCTATAACCAACAAACCAACCAACTTTCTGAAAAGTGCACGTGCAATATAACTGATTTATTAGTCTTTTATCTGCTGAAAACTCTCGCACCGCACGTACCAGTACTAAAGAATCAGAGTTAATATAGTCTATCTTCAGTGTTCGGCATGATTCTGATCTTGATAATTATTAGTGATGGTGCTTGCTGATTTTGGAATGCTAGCACGCACATTGTGATACACTGTGCTAGCTGATATAAAATGAAGATTCTGGAATTTCAGTGTTTAGTAAATGTTTCAAATATATTCAGTACCGGTGAGCCAGTGCTTGCTATCACAAGATTGTACTAATTGCATATCATCCGACTCAACTGCTCAGTGCTCAACAAATGTTATTGGAAACACTGATATGCCCCTGAAATCTTATTTTATGGACCACAGATTTTGCATACTGTCAAATATCTCATGAGGGTTATAAAATTACAGTCAAACCCCGATTTACCGTTCCCACATTTAATGTGAACTTTAATTTACTGTGAGGTTCATACATCCCCCAAACCGTGATAAGTGCACACTTTTAAAACCCTGCTTTATATTTTAGTGCTAGGGTTTGCTTTTCCCGAAAATTCCTAAGAAATCGGGGTTTAATTGTGGTGCTCCTGTCACAGATCAATATCCTTGTCTTCGGAATATCAAGTACCAGAAACAGTTAATAGATTATTACCGTTTAGCGATAACTTGTAAGCTGACTGAACATTGACTGAGCTAATTTGCAGCTTCGTATATAAAGTAATGTGTTGTATGCCCATATTTTGCTCGATTATGAGAGCATGCACGTAATGGTGTAATGGAAAGGTAGCCTGGATAATCTTCAATAAATTCAATCCCGTGATAGCCAAATCATGAATGTTAAGACTTTAATATATAATATAATACTATTGGACCCAATACGCACGGATTTTCTATAAAGAATGAACAACAATCAGAGTGTGCTTGTGTGAGGTGTATTAAACGGTTTAATACCGGGAGACAAAATTAAAACCATCTTCCAGTCGCCAAATGTACTCTACAAACGTGATAATGTGGTGGATTATGTCCGGTAATCAAGTTATAAAAACATGATCACCACATCCTAACTCTGGTCCTTAGGTTTAGAAATTAGATTTAAAAACCTGGGATCCTGCGATAAAGATTGAATTTCAAAGTGTACGAAGGAGTGAGAAGTGGTATGAAGGAGTAAGGAGTGGGGTGTGGGTTGTGTGTGTGTGTATGTAATTCGTCACCAGCTGATGAATGATACTTTATCATGGTGTTCGTATTAAAACTTCTGGCTTCTCAATCTTGGGACTGTTTATTGATGTTTTCAATGCTACCGTGGTGTTGGGTGTTAGGTGAGAATATTCTATAGTATGTGCAGATCTTAACAAATGTCACCTGAGACTACCTGACTCGCACTGTGACCCCACACTTAGTATGAGAATCTAAAACCATTCATTAGTCTGAAGATTAATAACCAAATGAGCTGGGATAGTTCTGAGAGATATGGACATTGTCTCCTCCTATTGGGAGTTCAGGTGTATAGTTACCAGTTAGGAGGTGGACACGAAACACAGCACTATGGTAGCTGGGCTAATGTTATTTAACACGAAACCGTGAGGTGATATTAACTTCATTACCGGGTCGAGGTTACATTTTTTACATTGTTGAAAAAAAGAAATGCGATTCGCTCGTTAACTCGTTAAGCATTTCACTTGTACGTGTTGAATATAAAAACAGTTAAAACGAGAACAAAAAACCTCTTGTTGTTTAAAAACTGGAACTACTCACGGTTGAATAGTCTGGATAGGACTTGTTAGCGACGCACTGTAGCGTGAGCGGTGACTATTTAAAGCTGTTTTAACTCTGGAACAGTAGACACGATAATTGGAATGTTCCAGAAGGGTGGGAAGGTTGGATCTGTGATAATGTGATACTGTTGTGTATGTGATAGATGATTGTGTAACACTGAAAGCAGGCGTATTAGTAGGGAATAGCTGTGTTTTACACAACATATAGATTGTAGCTACAATAAGCTTACTCAACTTTTGGGCGGGTCACGTGCTAGCATGGTCTTGTGTTATCCTTATATATTATGAGACAATAGAAACACCATCTTATGGCGCTATACTTGTGTGTACTGTGTATTAATATTATCATCTTGTTGGTATTCAGTGATTGTCCTTGAAATGTAACGACATTCATTCACAAGCAAATAACATTATCATTCACAACAAAGAAACGCGTCTCGTTAATACAGAGATACAGAGGCTTATAATTTATATCTTTATATACATTTATCATCATACTGCAGGGGGTCTGAATTTATGACTGTTCTACTGTTAGTTTTAGGGAGGCAAGCGTAATCAGGTTAACTATATTTACGTTGGAGGTAGGTGGCTGTCAAATGCCAATGCCTGTGAGAAACATGATACCGCTGACATTGTAGAAATCATACCTTGGACTTTCAACAATGCACGGACTACAATTGTATCATTAGTCTTACCACTATCAATAACAGTTGTTGATGGTTTCATTTACCATATTAGAACCATTGTAACATGATATTCAAGTATTCAAAGTATTCAGAAATGTAATATAGTTTCTGGGGCGCTTGAACTGAATTCCACGCAAACTTTTGTAAATAATACATAGGAAAGAAAAATTTTTTAGGAAAGAAAAATTTTTATTTACCACAAAACAATCAATACATAATGTTATATTCATAAATAAATTCAAATTTCAATTTCAAACACATATACAGTACGCCGCGCACACAGCCACAATTTAAAATTGTTCAGAAATTCGTAGGTCAGCTGTAGGCGCCGCGCACATGATCTATTTAATTGTTATCTTACAATTACATGTCACATTTCTTAATTTCTAGAGCCAAAATTTCAGAAGCAAAATAATTTAAAAGATATTTCTGTCGTTCACGCAGTACAGGCCGTGAACACCGCGACCTAATTAATATAATAATGGAGAGATTCCAAAAAACCGCGCGCTCGTTATTTGTGATTAAATTGAGTGCGCGCCACTGTCAACCGCAGTACCGCTCAAGCATGAAGTACTAAGCGGTACGCAGTTTTGCGTGAGGCGTAGACATTTGTAGCACACGTTTCATTCAACTAATCCATTATGTGACATGTAATTATATTAAAGCAAAAAGAATATTAATTTTAGTAATAATTGACGTAAACATATGTGTTTAAATAATATCTATAATCTAGCGAGTTACTAATACCATTTGTTTGTATTATTGATTATATATGTTTACACTAGCCTATATTATGATGGAGATATACATTGCATTATATAATTGCTCCAATATTCAACACTGCTAAACAACAAATACCTACTCGCCCATCGATGAAGCAGTCGCCAAAACAAAGCTCAAAGTTAATATATCCTCGTACTTCGTTTTGGAAACTGTAGAATTCCAATAAATAATTAGTGTTTCAATTGTGTATTCGATGGGCAAGCACTCGCCACTCGAGGCCGAGACAAACGGCACCAGCTCCGCCCTGCAACCATGAAGTAATGTAAGCAGTAAGGCGGGGCGGTGGTGTGCGCCGTTTATACGGCCCACAGCACGAGACATTTTGAGCTCCAAGACTATAAAAGTCCCGAATTAAACATAGCGACTTACCATCGTCAGCCGTCAAAAATTTAGAAGTATCTCTACAATTGTTTCCCCTCCTGATAAGCACTCTGCTTTTGACCACTCCTTTCCATTACACTCAGGCACTATCTCAGGGAGTCCCATCATTGCTGTTTCACAGATAACGATCACTGTTTGTTGAAACTCGAGCCAATTATGATTTAGTGCGTGTATCATAAATTATCGCACTACTAATACCTACTTTATTATCCATTCAAATACAACTCCATATTAATTGTACAAGTCATAACACATCATGATTCATGGCGTTATAATACATTGTTAACCTCTGTAGTCTGTACTGACTAAACCCCGCTTTAAGGTGTAATGCCTGTCCTGTCTGGCATGTCTTTGTTCGCACAGCTCTTTGTTGAGTCACTTTAAAGTTTCAGAGAATATGGCGCTTTGTTGATTAACTTATCTCCGTTATAAGTTATGCAAATATTTAAAAAGTAATATTAAGAATGTAATATTCCGCTATGACATACTATTATGGTACAGATACATGGAACTCAAACAGGTCATCACTCGATCTCTCAGACTGTAGTATCATAGTTTACACACAAATCACAATACCTATTATATTATATACAGTGGTATGTTTTATCAGGAAGATCCAGGTTATTTTGGTTATTGGGACACCGGATACATATGTATGTGACTTGCTGTTACGCGCAGTGTCAATGTTCTACTGGTCACGTGGTCTCATCAATTATAAAATAATTTAAATCCTTTATTTGAGCGCGGCGCGTACAATATTATAGCTATTAGCTAGCTTAGCTTAGCTAGCCTTGGCAGCCAGCGAGCGCGGCAATAACCAACACGATCGAACGTGATATTATTATATATGTAGCTCGATCTTGAAGTCCTGACCAACCCAGTTGTTGATGACGATGTCTCCGGTGATCCAGCACAGTGGCAAAATGAGTACAGTGAAACCATGTAAAATGATCAAACCTATGTACTTGTGTAAATGTGTACAAAACGAAGGTATTTGCAAGCCCGTATTAACAGTAAAACGCGTTGTTAATCGGGTAATTGTGAACAATTTTAATCAATATACTTGATCAAGTTCTCATTACGTGCCTCGGAACTGTGTCGGTACTTAACTGGGGGCCGGGGGGATTTGAGACTCGGTTGCGTGTTTATACTAATATTCTGTTAATGAAACATTCTTATAAATTTGACCAGGTTACATTCTGTTGAACGTGAACATGCAAACGGGCAACAAAACGCTATATGCTATCAGAAATGATGCGGAGCGGTCACTACTTATAATTTGGAACTTTACGGTTATTCTGTCATCACTTATAGGAGACAGTATAATTTTAATAGCGACTATCAAATATAGAGTCATCAAACTCCACAAACTGGTATTAACAGTAACACAGCTGTTTGTGACTTGATACAAACTGTACTCAGAGTATTTCCGGGTACTCTGGCAATAATATCAGATCGTTGGGTTGTTGGAGAGCTGCTCTGTCATGTGGAGGTAAATGTCACCTGGGCTTGTGTTCCAGTGACAGTGTTGCTCATGACATGTGCTATGACCACTCTGAAACTGATAACAGTGAAGTATCCTCTGAGAACTGGTGCCTGGTCCACACGGTTAGGACATAAAATCTGTGCTTCTTTATGGGTCCTAACGCTTTTTTGGTACACTCCATTACTAGTAGTGAGACTGCTTTACATCAGAGACACAGTCCACGTAAGCTACATAGAATATGCTTGTGCTTATAATGATCGCCTATATAATGATATACCGATCTAGTCTGGTATACATGGTACTTTCCTATCGGTGATGCTATGTTGAGTATCTTCTCCTTCACGACACTCATCGTTACATCAGTTCTTCTCCTGATCGTGGCTAATAAAGCTGCCTCCCGGCACGGAGAAACACTGAGATGGGAGGGGGTGACCACAGTACTGCTCACTGTTGGAGTGTTCTTTATATCTTACCTACCATTTAGTTTGAGGTTAATGGCATATCTATGTGGAGTTGAAAAAAGCACCACTTCCATTCGAGCTATAATTCAGCTCACTAACCTGAATATAATGGCTAATTTCTTTGTGTACTCCCTTACTGTGCGAAGTTTTAGACATTTCCTAAAAGTGAAGATATCTGAAGGACTAAGGAGACGGCAACTCCATAGTCCATCAAAGACCTGTAGACCTTCAACGGCAGAGACCATATCTAAGACAAAGACCCAATCCAAGACAAGATCCTCCAGAAGTGGTGATGACATCCTAACTCCGGCTGTAGAGCTACAAGGATCGCAGTTACAAGAGGATGGGATACAACACTTTCCAAATATATTGGAAACGACTGTTTGATTAATGAGACAGTTTTGTTCATAGTGCCAAATGCTGTACTGTATTTTCAATGTGATCTTCGATTTTCAAATCTTTACAGTGTCTATATTTTATTCTTTTGTCTTTACTATTTTTCATTCGGTATGTAAAATGTTTCGATATTACCAATTATTGTAGAATATTTCAATATTTTAAAATCGTTAATATTAATAAGTTTTTGGAAGCTAATTGTTCTGTATTGGTAAATTTAAATTTGTTTGTTTACATCCTGTTTTATAATGGTGATTATATATAGATAAAGTTAAATTAATGTTGTGCGATAATTTTGACGAAAAATGTGATTTACTTTCATTGAAAATTATTTGAAATCTTTCTAAGGTGACAAAATGTGTTTTATTTCGATTTCCGACATATTCTAACATATTTCAGCATATTTAACACATTGAACATAGTTCTCAGGACGTGATAACAGCTCAGAAATGTGATTTAGAACAGATAGTGTTTGTAGCTCTTATTGGTAAAGATGTGGTCGCTACAGCTGGGCGCCATCTTTCATTTTTGTGGTGTTTCGTGAATTTTATAGTCCTTTTTGTGGTGTTGTTAATGTCTACAAAACACTCTTAGTACTTTCAATTAGTATATTTATTTTAACTCTATATATATCAGACATTTTCATTAGAAACATCACAAAAATGCGACTCATAAATAATGTTCCTATCCGGATAATGCCATTACACATCTATATATTCAACTAACAAAGCAACTTAACATTTACAGTCACGTTGGGGGGGGGGGGGGGGCGACACACAGGTACGTTTCGCCACTTATCCTTCATCCTTGCTTTCAGCTTTGGTCTTGCTGAAAACGTCTGACAATACACCTTATTTTGTAGGTATGAGAACAAAATATTTTGTCCAGTCAAGTGTATAAGTATAACAGTCAAATGACACAGGTGGACGTGAAACTTAAAGCTGGAAAAACTTTTGCAGTGACGTCTTTACATTCTATATTAACCAATGAATAATTCAAACAGACGGTTCCAAAACAGTCGTTATTCAATGTACAATGTACGAAATAACAATAACCAAATACAAATAGACAGATCCACCCTATATGTTTAAATTAGATCGTTCACCCCCTTCGCCATAGGTTGGCTAACGTAATATGTGAACGATCCCTTATAAAATTAACCAAATTGTGTTGTCCACCAGCTGGCCAATGAACTGACAATCTTCTCGTTATATTTCAAATCTGTCCATCTATACTCAACAGACACGGCAATTTTCTAGTTAAAAAATGTAAGCCATATTTACCACCTAACTTTGATCAAGAAATAATTTATAGTCCGGTACAAAATCAGATATCATCAGTCCAATTTAAAAACGTTATACAGTTGAACACAAAGTGATAGTTTCTTTCTCTTTTTTCTGTTTAAAGGTATAAAGTTCCCCGACCAGCATTTGTCGCTTGTAATTCTTCTTCGTAGTCATTGTATCCTTTCCATTAAATGATCTTTACCAATACTTAAATACTACCCGAATTCTGAAATTATACTTTTGTTGGCCACTTCACAATACGAAATAAACAGACCCAGCAATTTGTCGAGCGGTAGATTGGTACAATTGATGACATGGGTGCAGCTTGTATAGACTCTAGCGATATTTTCACTCACCAAACTGCTGGAAGTGAGACTCCTCGTCGATCTCTGGCTTCTCCTCACTTTTAGTTTTAGAGTAATGAGACCTGAAGACCAGGAATCGGAACAAGTCTGACAGTGAAACCAGACCCACCACGTGCTTGGTGTCGTCTACCACAACTAGCCTGTGTACCTGAACAGTTGGAGCGAGTCAAGCTGTGTTTTTAGCAAATCACTCGCCAAGGAGTTTAACAATTTTTACGAAGAGGCCTTGAGTTTGAAGGGTAGGAAAGTAGCTTTAAACTGAGGAATGCACAAGAACTGTTTTGGTCATGCGTGGAATTACCTGAGCGCTGTAAATTGACTTTATAACATCTATCAGACTGTCCGTAGCCCTACAAGTCAATACTTCCACTTTCTGAAAATTGCGTAAATTAAACACAGATTAAGCTGGGTACATTTTACTAATCACACATTATTAGTCGTAAGCATTCCGGCGATAGTCAATGCAGATGTCCAGAAAATAGACGGTCGATAAGAATTTATTGTTGGGACTATAAAACGGAAGTAAAACAAGCGTAGGGTAAAAACAAGTACAAAAGATAGAAGTCAAACTGGGAAATCAATGTTTACTGGAGTGGCTGAGTGAGCACTTCCAGTGCGACCTGCTTAGAGAGTTAACAACACGTTAGTTACCTGAGTAGAACGAAGCTGCAAACATTCCCTGATCGTCATGTCCATATCATTATATTTACCACGTGAAGCCAGGGTCTGGAGAAAGGAGGAGGTTATTATTGTTGTAGCAGCGGATTTGGATGAGCAGACTCAAAAGTATGACTAAAACAATAAACAATTAGTTAATTTGAAGAGACATGAAACATTTGTATACTTACAATAACATCAAATCTGGCATAGATGTCAACAACTTTCACTAGAATGGGGATACAATTTATTATTTTAATGAATTTAATATTTAATTATTATTGGGTCAATTAAACAACGTCAAAGAGGCAGATTTATTAGATTTATTACAACCCGTTGCAATATCTATTCAACAGTTTAACCGGAAAGTCATGAATCTAAAACATAAACTTACACTCGTCATCAACTATAGGAATGGCTGAGATCTTCGTCTTCGCAAAACACTCCATAGCTTGTAGCAACTTTGAATCGTATCTGAGCTGAAAAGCGAAATGGTGAGGATAGTTGTTGATGTTATACTAGTACTACTATTATTATTATACATTATTACTTGTATTAGTTACTCCTTACGTTCATTTGTAGCACGCACATGCAACATGCACGCACTGTTTGTGACGCTCAATGTGATCGGGTGATAATTAAAATATTTATCGGTAAAACGAAGATTGTCCTATTCAAATGTTTTTACGCGACGTGCGTGCGATCGATATAATCAATATAATAATTAAATAAATATTATATTTATTATTATATATATATATATGTAATATATATTTGTAAGCAAAATTTCCTGTCCCCCTGTTCCAATTTTAGTAGTCACCATTCTAAACAAGTTTTCCCTATAACTAAGTATATATCTTGTCAGAGTTATAACCTCATTTATTTAATGGAGTGTAAGACTTGTAAACAGTCGTATGTCGGTTATACTACCTCAAATCTCCCTAAGAGATTCTCTAACCATAAGAGTCACATAAAGAAAGGTATAAGAAGTTGTAAATTAGTTAACCATTTTTTAGATATTGATCATGATTTAGATTTTAGTACCATAGCCTGCTATAATTCCTCACTTAGTAAGCACCTTTCTGTCATTATAGTAGACGCTTTAGTATTTGAGCCTAATATTAGTAAAGCAGACAAAGAAAAGGCTATGGAAGCTAGAGAGGGGTTCTACCAGACCCAATTGAAAACCCTTGAACGGTTTGGGGGTATGAACACCCTTGATAGTAACCATCTACTTTTTAAATCTGCCGGAGCTTAGTTTTAGTTTTAGTATATTTTGTAGATTTTTTTTAGTTATACCATTATTCCAGAGACGTGCATATTACATTTTTTACTTAAGTATAAATTTTACAGGTTTTTGTTGTGATTTTAAGTGATTTTCCGAGAATCAGTTATCAGTATTTAGATAAGAGATAAGATAAAAGTACATTTTTAACGGCTTTCAGTTTCTTTTTTAAATTTCAGTTCATCAGATTTTCCCACTGCTTTTAGTTTGTATTTATTCTCAATTGTATATGATTCGTATTTGTTGTAGTTACTTTAATGATATAATTTCTCAGAATTGATGTAAATAAACGATGCAAAGACTTTCGAAGATCTAATCACAACCGCTTTCTTTTATTGTGTAGAAGTCCAGCCATGAAATATATATAGCACTTCTACGCAACACATCTGACACAACGTGGTGATTCTTCTACAATCTATCAGCTACAAGCTCGGTACACATCAGAATCCCCAGAGCCTCCACGCTCCGTTTGTCATCCGACATCTTTTTATGAGATTTTAGTTTGTTTTCAGTAACTTTTATCATTATGAGTCCCCCGATGCCTAAATTGGACAACTTAGCAGTTAGATCAGTTAGGGCATCTTGTCAATTGAGATACTTACAGACTACGAGACACCACGGTAATATCCCTAGAGGTATTGCTACTCAAATCAATTTTAGGTGTGCAGTTAAAGACACTTTTTATGTAGAATCCTGTAAAGCGCTTAATCAGTTACAGAAATCAAGAATGCTAGACTTAGTCATAGATAATCAAGTAATCAGGTCTCAGACTTTGCGTAAAAGTTTTTATAGTTTCAAAAACTGCATCAAATCTGCACTTCCCCCATCAGATCATGAAAATTTAGAGAATCATTTATCTAATTTAATGCACAAGGAGAAACTTGAACTAACCAAGCGTCATGAATCTAAGTTGAAGAGAGATAAGGACTATGCTATTTATGTTGCACCTTCATATGTGGATAATGCTAAACCTGTGAAGAAGAGGAGAAGAAGGAAGAGAAAAAAGATTAATCGTACCACATCCCACAGACATCAGAGGACGTTAATCAAAGGTACTCTTCCCAAGGTTGAAGACTTGTCAATGGAAAACATGTCCAGAACAGTTGTAAATCTTACAGACAAAGAGCTTAGTAAAGAGCAACTCTATGTCTTTTTCTTGTCTCACAAGTTTGCACCTACACCTCCCCTACCAGATCTAAGCCGCTTCGAGAACGATCTGTGTAGATGGTTTTCTAAAATGAGAGCTAAAGTTGTATTTGATAGCTTTAAATGTGGACCCAACAAAGCAGATAAGAGAGTTACTGACATGGAACGTTGTCTTATAAAGACTGATGCATCACGTACTTTCGAATCTTGTAAAAACCCTGCACTTGAGGCATTTATAAAATGCTGCAGAGCAGAAGTAGACCTCCACAGGCCAACTCAGAAATTCGTCTCACCAGATAACATCGCTGCGCCCATCAGAGCAGCTCTCAAAGAAGTCAAAGGTTGGAAAGACATTGTAATCAGACCATTCGATAAAGGAGTAGGATTCTTCCTTCTTAGTGAAGAAGATTATATTCAACGAATAGGTGTACATTTAAATGATAGATCTGTATATAGTATTGTAAATAATGTAGATGATTTAGTTGTAGAATTGATTGATAAAATTTCGAATTGGACAATTGAGTTTAAAGATGAATTAGGTATGTCCAAGAAGGTCAAGGAGTGGGTTATTCCATGTACTGAGCTTAACCAGCCTGGAAACATGTACCTGAATCCCAAGGCACACAAACCACCTTTGTATCCTGGGAGGATGATTACCACCGGCTGTGGTTCATACATTGAAAACCTTTCTGCCTTGACTGCGTATGAATTGAAGAAGGCTACTTTGAATTATAGAATTATTGATACCCCTCACTTTCTGAGGAAGATTGATAGCCTGAACGAGTCTAGCATATTGTTGGGAAAGGAGGTTATACATGTTGCCATCGATATATCTAACATGTTTACCAACATTCCTAGGGATATGGGGATCCAACAATGCACTAAGCACCTGAATAAAAGGAGTAGTGGTGATCAATTGTTTAGTACAGAATGCATTATTAGTGCACTAGAAATTACTCTTGATTACAACATTGCTTCATTTAACGGTATAACATACCGCCAGGAGCGTGGAGCAGCGATGGGTCCTAAGAACTCATGTGAGTATGCTGATTGTGCTATGGATAAGATTGATATTTTAGTTAACGAAGGAGATCTAGAATATGGCCCGCCTCATAGACCAGCATTCTGGGGTAGATTACGTGATGACATTTATATGGCTTGGCCCGGTACTGTTGAGGAATTATTACAATTCATGGAATGGCTCAATAGTATCCACCCAAACCTTTTGTTTACTTACGACTACTCTAGGGACGGCGTTGAGTTTCTAGACACCTATGTCTATGCTGTTGGTGATGTTGTCCACACCAAACTCTACTCTAAACCTAGTGACACCCACTGCTACCTTATCCCCACGTCATGCCATAGGAACCATGTTGTAAAAAACATACCTTTTGGAGTGGCGAGGCGGGTGAGACAGAACAACAGTGAAGACACTAACTTCTTGGAGCAGAGAGAGGTCTATACACGTTACCTTCTAGCCCGAGGTTATCATTCCAGTATTATAGAAGATGCCTCAAACAAATTTAGTGATATAGCTAATAGGAAAAACTTGTATACCCTTAAAGACAAGAATGAGTCGACTGCCTGTTTAATACCCATGGTGATGGATCAAAATCCAGCACTTCCCAACATGGGGGGCATTATCCATAAGTATAAGCACCTTCTCAACCTTGATCCGGCCCTGAAGAAGCTGGTACGTGCGGACAGTGTATTCGTGAGTCATCGAAAGAATCAAACTATCGGTGGCATGCTTGTACACAATAAGTACCGTGCCAGTGGAACTTTAAACTGTGATAATGAGAGAGAAACAACTGCAAGCCAGATCCAGGAACCAGACTCCGAAAGTCTAAGGGCGGTTCCCGGGGCTGTCGACCCAGGGTGCCATGCTTGTGGTAAATGTTATGTTTGTAAGCAAAATTTCCTGTCCCCCTGTTCCAATTTTAGTAGTCACCATTCTAAACAAGTTTTCCCTATAACTAAGTATATATCTTGTCAGAGTTATAACCTCATTTATTTAATGGAGTGTAAGACTTGTAAACAGTCGTATGTCGGTTATACTACCTCAAATCTCCCTAAGAGATTCTCTAACCATAAGAGTCACATAAAGAAAGGTATAAGAAGTTGTAAATTAGTTAACCATTTTTTAGATATTGATCATGATTTAGATTTTAGTACCATAGCCTGCTATAATTCCTCACTTAGTAAGCACCTTTCTGTCATTATAGTAGACGCTTTAGTATTTGAGCCTAATATTAGTAAAGCAGACAAAGAAAAGGCTATGGAAGCTAGAGAGGGGTTCTACCAGACCCAATTGAAAACCCTTGAACGGTTTGGGGGTATGAACACCCTTGATAGTAACCATCTACTTTTTAAATCTGCCGGAGCTTAGTTTTAGTTTTAGTATATTTTGTAGATTTTTTTTAGTTATACCATTATTCCAGAGACGTGCATATTACATTTTTTACTTAAGTATAAATTTTACAGGTTTTTGTTGTGATTTTAAGTGATTTTCCGAGAATCAGTTATCAGTATTTAGATAAGAGATAAGATAAAAGTACATTTTTAACGGCTTTCAGTTTCTTTTTTAAATTTCAGTTCATCAGATTTTCCCACTGCTTTTAGTTTGTATTTATTCTCAATTGTATATGATTCGTATTTGTTGTAGTTACTTTAATGATATAATTTCTCAGAATTGATGTAAATAAACGATGCAAAGACTTTCGAAGATCTAATCACAACCGCTTTCTTTTATTGTGTAGAAGTCCAGCCATGAAATATATATATATATAGTATATTCACGCCGCGCGCGCGCGCGCAGTGGCGCGCACACGTGCGCGTAACGATGAAATAGATCGATGCGTGTTACAGTATTCCTACATAGTAGACCCATTTCGAATGTCGCCCCAGTTCAGATACAAAATGGCGCAAAAGTTAGGTCCGTGCGTAAATGTTACAATTTCGCCAGAACACCTCTCACTTGCAGTTTGATGAGATTTGGGCGCTGATAAACATTTTTCGGCAATCAAATATTGAACAGATAAATTTTCATAGTCATGGCAAGCAATTTACCGACATGGATCAAATATGAGTAATTAGAATTCTGTAATACGGTACATTGTTACAGTTCGGATGAAAAATATTGCTTCAGACCGAATTCGAACCCGGACCTTCTGCATGCGAGGCGATAATCTTGCCCCTGGGGCGACATTTACTTACAATTCTGAGAAATAAACCGGGCCGACATTGTACAGTTTTGCTAGAACACCTCCTCCCCATTCCACTATTTATGCGCCAAATTGGACAGGTTTAATGGTCGGTGATACATATTGGTATATAATAGTGAATAAAATGATAGATGTTGGTACATAATAGAATTGATTTACCTGTTTGACATTCTCGTAAGTGCCCACTCCTATAGTTTGTATCGGAATGGAGAAGAAAGGATCAAGTTTAGATTCTATAATGTAAGGGTAGATATGATTCAATATCCGTTTGTGTGTCAGAATGTAGAGTGTATTCCCAGATCTGGGATCTATTACCGGTAACCTGTGTATTTTCTTTTCTAACAATATCTTTGCTGCTGTAAACAACGTCTCCATAGGATCTGAAAGTATCAAGTTTGTATTATGAAGTTTCCTTTTTGTCAAAGATGGACCTTTCAAGGTTTACCGTTTACATTTATGAATTTTGTTAAATATTTGATTTCAAGCCAAAATTATTAGCGCCAAGTTGTTAAAACTTCACAGTTTTGTTGACCTTGTTAAATAAAATAGGAAGTAAAATGTTAATATTTCTATTACACTATCTTAGATAGTTTGATAACGAGCAACCATTTTACATTCCTTACTGCTGACAAAATATCATATTATTCATTATAAAGTAGTAACACTTACCAATAGAAATTAGTCCTTTATTAACATTGGATTTCTCCGAGATAACTTTCCACTCCTCGATAGTTTTATTCTCGATGATATTCGCTATATTCAGATGTTTGCCTTCCTTGTTCTGGTTTTGATGTAGAATGTTAATGAAGTCTGTGATGGTTAACATCCCAGTGTACGCTTGACAGCTCGAGTCCCATATTGGAGCGGCTCTAGTCCCTGGAATGTGAAGGGTACATTGCAACATGTTCATTTTAATACCAGACGATAACACAAACCATAGTACTACCATTTATCATGTAATGAGTAATCATTTAGTCAAAATGTTAATTTTATTTATTTTAGTGTGATATTTTATAATGGATGTGAAAAAAGTTTGCCGAAATTCGTGATTTTGGGTTTGATATTATCAGTGCCCCTCGAAGAGGTAGGGGAGGTGGTGTTGGTTTTCTCTTCAACCCCAAAGTGATTTCGCCTGTACGCAATGATGTTACTAAATATTCATCTTTTGAAGTACTTGAATGTGTCATTGAAACTGCTGGTGAGATTATCAGGCTATGTGTAGTTTATCGCAGCACTCAGGCCAAAACAAAATATGATGAAACAAAAATATCTAAGTTTATGGATGACTTTGATGGATACCTGGACAATCTTCTGCTTAAAACTGGATCTCCAATTATTTGTGGTGACTTTAATTTCCATGTTGAAGACCTAAACAATAATGTTGCCCAGAACTTTATTGCTCTTTGTGAGAGCAAAGGCTTCCTTCAGCATGTTGACTCTCCTACTCACATCTCTGGCGGGACACTGGACTTGTTATTTACTCTAGGCTGTGTAAGTGACTCATTGTCTGTAACAGATATGATGGTAGAGACAAGCACTGGAACCAGCTCTGATCACTATCTAGTAAGTTTTCAGATCCCAGTCACATTCGATTTTCATAAAGCTCGTACATATGAAGAAAAAGATGTCAGAGAGCTAAGCAAAATTGACATGGATAAGTTCAGGGAAGATCTGTTTTGTTCAGAGCTTAACCTTTCTGAATATCAATCCTTAGACGAGGCTGTGAACCTTTATCAAAATGTCCTTGAACAGGTGCTGGACAAACATGCCCCACTTATTACGAAACGATTTACTGTTGAAAAGTCTGATTTTTGGGATGAAAAATGTCAAATTGCTGTCAGAGAGAGGAGAAGAGCAAAACGAAAAGCCAAAAAGTATCCAGAGAATAATGAGTTTAAAACTACTCATTTTGAAAAGTGTGTTGACGCAGAAATCACCATCAATCGAGCTAGAGATAGCTACTATGATAAACAGCTCAGTTCTTGCAAAGGAGACTCGAAAGGGACATACAAAGTCATAAATAAACTTTTAGATAAAGAATATGGCTCCAACAAACTGCCAAATGGTGAAGATATCGAAGTGGCTGAAAAACTCAAGACTTTCTTCGACAAAAAAGTAAAAACCATTTACTCTAATATTGAGAAGGAAATTCACAACACTTCCCTAAACGGTCAAGGTACCAAAAACTCTACTTCAATAGAGAATGCAAAGTGTAGACTTGATCAGTTTAAGGAAGTCTCATTATCAGAACTTGAAACCTTAATTAAGAGTCTTCCCAATAAATCAAGCGTACTCGATGTAATACCAATGTGGCTCTTCAAGAATTGCTTACCCGAGCTTCTCCCAATCATCCATTACATCGTGAATGAATCACTAAGAGTTGGAAAGTTTCCATCTGCCCTAAAAGAAGCATCTATAAGGCCTGGACTCAAGAAACCTACCTTAGATGTTGATGAGCTGAAAAACTATCGACCGATTAGCAATCTAACCTATCTGTCCAAAATACTAGAAAAAGTAGTTCATTGCCAATTAAATGAATATGCTGATGTCAACAACCTATTTTCCCATATCAATCAGGCTATAGAAAATTCCATAGTTGTGAAACTGCAGTTACAAAGATACATAATGATATTCTAATGATGATTGATAGCAAATCGAATGTTGTGCTTCTACTCTTAGATCTATCAGCTGCTTTCGACACCATAAACCATAATCTCCTTCTTACGAAACTGAACAATGCGTATGGTATTACAGAACTAGCACTCAGCTGGTTACAATGTTACCTTAATAATCGCACATTCAAGGTTAAAGTTAAAAAAGCCACATCTTCTGAATGCTATCTGGATATTGGTGTACCTCAAGGATCCATTTTAGGACCACTACTGTTCATATTGTATACCAGAGATCTTGAGGAAATTGTCACAAAATATGGTTTCTCGATACATTTGTATGCAGATGACACACAGGTGTACTTTACTTTCGATGTTCACAGTTCTAATCCTGATTTAACAGCTGTGAAAAATTGCTTTCTGGAGATAAAGCAATGGATGACAGTTAACTTCCTAAAACTGAATGATGAAAAAACAGAGTTCATTGATATAGGACCATATGTCAGCCCAATCCAGTCAATGGATTTAGGAGACCTCTCAATCTGTCCTGTTAGCAAGGCCAAGAACCTGGGATTCCTTTTCGATCACCAAATGAATCTGGACTCTCAAATAAATGCTGTCTCCAAAGTATGTTATTTGAATCAAAGGGACTTATCAAGAATCGGTTCAAAGCTTTCCCATGAACTAAAAGTTCAGTTAGTTCACTCCAATATTCTCTGTTTCATAGACTACTGCAACTCAGTCTATTATGGTATAACAGAAAAGAATCTCCATAAGCTACAAAAGATACAGAACAATGCTGCTAGATTTATCTTTGGTCTTTACGGAAAAAAGATACGTGAACCTATCATGCCTTACCTCAAAAAGCTCCACTTTTTACCTGTTCGGTTCAGAATCAAGTTCAAAATATCACTTCTGGTCTTCAAGTGTCTTAATAACATAGCCCCTCAGTACTTACAAGGACACATCAATCTAAGGGTAGTACGAAGACAAAGTTCCAGACTAGATGATGACTTTTATTTGTTGAAAGTTCCTCCTGCTCCTCATTTCAGACGAACAGATGCTGCATTTATGTTTTGTGGACCAAAAATTTGGAATGAACTACTCTACTCAGTGAGATCATTATCATCTGTAGAATGTTTTAAAAATGCGCTAAAGACGTTTTATTTCCACCTAGCTTTTGATAATATTTCTAATATTTGTCCATAAAGTCTGAACTGATATGAAAGTGCATAATTTTGGGAACTTCATACAAATATTTGTTCATAAAATGTGAACTGATAAAAAGTCCATAATCTTGGTATTTCATCACTAAGTCTCGCTTGAATGACTTAAATGTACATCTTTGTTGGGTATATTTTAATGTCGAAGCGTGTAATAAATGTTAGAATTTATTTATTTATTATTTAAACTGAGGTTCATGAGGTACAGCTGTTACTATTACTACATTATAATTATTAACTTACCATGAGCAATGAGGGCTGTAAACGCTTTCCTGACCTGAATGTTGGGGGATTTATAAATAATACAGCTAAGCGACCCTCAAAAAAGGAAAGAGAAAGAATACTCCTAACATGGTTTAAACAATAGACCAATTAATTCCGAGTATTATAAATACCCCCAAGCTGGACGACTGTGAAATTTCGAATCAGCAACATGAACACTGACCACAATCCGAGTAAAAGTTTAGTGACTATACACCCTATACAGTACTGCAGTAGTACTGTTTACATAGTACTGTTATAGTTGTACAGTAGTTATACAGTACAGTAGTACTGTTATAGTACTGTTATAGTTGTACAGTAGTTATACAGTACAGTAGTACTGTTATAGTACTGTTATAGTTGTACAGTAGTTATACAGTACAGTAGTACTGTTATAGTACTGTTATAGTTGTACAGTAGTTTTACAGTACAGTAGTACTGTTATAGTTATACAGTACAGTAGTACAGTATAGTTGTACAGTACAGTAGTACTGTTATAGTTGTACAGTACAGTAGTAATGTATAGTTATACAGTAGTTATACAGTACAGTAGTACTGTTATAGTACTGTTATAGTACTGTAGTTGTACAGTACAGTAGTACTGTTATAGTACTGTTATAGTACTGTAGTTGTACAGTAGTTATACTTCAGAGTCTCTGTACGGTCACTGGTTACTGTGTTTGTGTGTTCAATAACCTTAAAAAACAGGCTGTGGTGGATTTAAAATGGATGATTTGCTCACCAACAGATTCTTGTCGAATACAATAAGTTTGCCGCTATTTGGAATAAGGTCGTAACACTTCTTTGATTGTAGAAACAATGCGGGTGTATTGATCAGCTGGCAATCTGAAATGTAATGATTGAGAAAACAACATATTCTCAGAAACAATTTGTACGTTATATGAGTAATCACTAACTTTCTCAAGCTTGCCTGGTTTCACTATTCACAACACATAATTAAACCTTTTAAAGTAATGTTAAAAAGTGAACAAAGGAATGCAAAGTCTTGGCTTTGTGACTTACTTTCATTGATGTCCTCAAATATTTTCGCCTGCTTAGTCGCCTGTCTTTTATACAAAGGGGACTGTGGCTGAAATTTGTCTCAATATTAATAACACAACCTATTATGTTAGAAAATAGACGGTATATTCTTTAAAGATGAGACATTCTTTTAAATGGTTAGAAATTTCAACTTGTAAATCGTAGTTCGGATAACAACAATGAAAGGATCAATGATTGCAATCATCACACTGGTGCGACACAAGCATGCACAAAGAAAAGAATTTACAAACATAGAACAGATTGACAGAGTTGTCATGATACATTTTATAATGTGCTTCTACCAACATGTCCCATATCAAAGTAAACTTTCAAAGGAAGCTAAAATACAGATGTTTCAGCGATTTAAAGATAAGAAGATCCTAGAATAGTCATGTTTCTTTATTTAACTATTCCAACTATTCCAACTTTTCTGACATAACCAGATTCCAGAGGCAGTGTCCCGATCAAATTTATAATGAGTTCTCATCAGTGAAATGAGACTCAAATGTAATGAGAGTTTGCAATAGAAACGGAGATTACCTCCACTCCAAGTATTCAAAAAACATCCGTTCCACAATTTCTCTGAATAATTAAAGATACTACCACCAAACAGATAGAAAATGAAAGTAAGTTTGTATGATAATTAACAAGAAAATAAGCAGAAGAAAATCCCAAAGTTTTTATAATCAGCAGCTAAATCGCTTGAAAACTTTAATATGAGCCCATATATAACGAAGTTTTATATTAACAGGAAACGATGTAACAGAGTCAATATATTTTAATGTTGCCATGGGGTGGCAAGTCCCCATACATCGTAGTTCGATAATATCAATAGTTGTTTATCACCGAAAGTTTTCTGCTGAATGATGGTATTGTCATCACTGCTTGAAAGAATCATCAAACAAGACTCAATAACAGTGTACGACTTAATCGTGTTAAATTCTCACTAGAGTCCCTACTTGGTAGTCAGCAGTCACGTGACTTGGTAAGTACGTGACTTGGTAAGTACGTGACTTGGTAAGTACGTGAACTTTATTTCAGAACACCACTTCTGGAATTTGACCTGTACTCTACAAGGAAATGTTGTTATATTAAATACCTGAGTTAGTAGATACTTACAGGTGAATTTGGAATAGACCGAGGAGAAAAAGAGAAACACTGTCCTTCGATCATGAGCCACCGCTGTGAAACAAGAGAATACTTGATGTTTTTTTAGAAAAAAAATCAATCAAATTTCAAGTTATATATTTTTTTGCATGTAATGAGTAAAATTTTGTTGTCGACTATTTTCACCTCAGGTAAGCTGGTTTATAAGTGTTTATCTGTTAACCAATCTTATCTTGCTAAATTAAGTACACTATTCGTAGTAATATTACATGTTATTAATAAAATAATACCCAGTTTACGGGTATACATGTTATTGTGCCCAGGTATGTTATTTATAAGATTAGAGTGGTTTGATATATAACTTTAATAGTGGAACTGGATATAATGCCAAGTGGAGATGTTCGCGGAATCCCATGCACACTGCACAGCAATGCAACATTACAATTAGGCTAACTAAACTTTTATTGTATTTATTATTAATAAACACTGTTTTCAAAATCGGCATGCACTATTACACTGTATTATGAATTAACTCTTACGTCATTTTATGTAGTAACTGATAATGTAAGAAAATAAGAATATTTGGAAAGTTCTAGAACAAATTTCTAGAACTTACTAGTACGTGTGTTATCCGTTAACAAGAACTCTCTAGGCCATACTGGAGTTCATAATTGAATATGTTCTCGAACATCACTACATCATTACATCAATACACATTATTCCTATCCATTCTCTCGAATATTCGGAGGTAGCTGGAGAAATTGAAAGCTGATTATGCCGAGGAAGATGAATATTATACATTACTTTGCTGCATAAATTTGTAACTTTACTAACTAAAAAAATCATGCACTATTATATGTATATAGTGCATGATTTTTTGCATGTATACATTATAATGTATATATAATACATTATAATGTATATAATAGTATGGCTTCACGTGCTTTTACAGTGGATTTCTTCTAATTTAGCCTTATAGAGTTTGATTGTTATATTACATGTATGGAGATACAACTGCAAACTATTTAGCGTATGCCTATCAGTACAGTTGTCATTGTACTATCGGTACATTTGATATTTTGACAGCAATTCAAGCAATTGATTCTATGTCTGGCACTTTATTTGATAAACTGTTAATACTTCTTAATTGAAATTAAGCATCGTATTACACAATTTATATATATCCATATATAAATGAATGGATTCGGCTGTCATTCTTGATCTATATATATAATACATATATATATATCCAGGAATGGCAGCCGTATTCGAGCCCTCTTTGTTCACGATATCGAGCGCTACATTATATAGGATCAGGACTGTTTTGTATGCTAGAAGGTGACAGGGACAGGGACAGGGACAGGGACAGGGACAGGGACAGGGACAGGGGCAGGGACAGGGACAGGGACAGGGACAGGGACAGGGACAGGGACAGGGACAGGGACAGGGACAGGGACAGGGACAGGGACAGGGACAGGGACAGGGACAGGGACAGGGACAGGGACAGGGACAGGGACAGGGACAGGGACAGGGACAGGGACAGGGACAGGGACAGGGACAGGGCAACGTAGCACTATCCATATTTCTTTATTTAACATATTATATACAAAGATACCGAGAGTAAGGAATTGTAAAGACACTTTCATTTTAGTACAGTACATTGTTCATTTAATACAACATATTATGTGATATAATGTATTCTCTATTAACTAGTACACTAAATAAACTAATTCACTATTGTGCAACACAGTTCAAACATGCTTGCTTAAGAGCTTTGATTATGGGATTTTTTTGACATTATGGCATGTCAAATTTTTCGAAAGATCAACAGCGTTTGATCATGAGAAATTATCTAATTTAACTTTCAGTGATTCGCTGGTAATCAGACAGCTTATTTTTTTCTTTCTCAAAAATTGTAATCAATATGTGCGTGAAATAGTGCGGTGGGGCTACAAGAGCAGCTTACAAGTATTATATAGATAAAATACGAATCACGCTTTTCAAAGAGAAAAATACAAAGCAAAGACATGTGCGACACAATCTAGGAATGCACGAAAACACGTGCAAGAGTTACAATCCTACTTACAGGGGAGTTTGGAATGCTGCGAGGAGACGCAATCTCCTCGTGCTGAGCGTTAGTCCTGATGGGAATAGTAGGGCCTGTGTTGCTGTCCTCGGAACTGGAGGACCTCCTGTGTCTGTAGATTGGAACGTCACGTGTCATCCAGTCGTGTATCTGGAATGAGGGGGTCCAGTAGAGCTGTACACACTACATTGAAAAAAAATAATTTCAAATTTGTGCACGAGAAACACCCTCTACGGAGGGGGTTTCTTGAAACATTACATTTAAACATGGTATAAATGATACAAAAGGTTTCACTAAAAGGATGTAACTAGTCTATCAAATAAAGTGTGAAATAAAGGGTCACAGTGATGAACATACTATGTAGCGAATAGCAATACCTAAATATTGTGTATCATGTAATCTATAAGTGCTTTTCAATACAGGTTAAAACGAGGCCTTCATGTCATGGAGCCAGGGTTTGGACCAGGGCTTTTACCCGCTTAAAATATTTTCATCGCGATACATAATACTCAATAAATGTAATAGATTTGTAGTGTTGTAATTAGTTTAAAACTATTATCGTAGATTTAGAGATTGACGAGTGTTTGTAAAGATGAAAGAAAGCGACGGTCAGGCATATACTATACATTTTGTAGTATTATAATTGACAATAGACCTATCACATGTTTAATATTATATCATTATGTAAAATACAAGTCATATCCTTATATCCGGATAATACATCATGGAATAGTTAAGAACGATGTTACACTGGTCGGTATTCGGTGAGGGTTGTTACAGTTACAGTGTAACACACGAGTTCACAAAATTATTGTGAGTTCTGCCAAATATGATCAGTTCACAAAATATAGTGAATTCTACAGAATATAGTGAATTCTACAGAATACAATATGTATTAGAGTTCTATATGGTGAGTTCTAAAAGATATTTTGATATTTTGACTTGACTTTAAATTGAGTTCCACAAAATAGGGTTGGTATTTTTCAATCCATTTTCAGGCAATCTCTGTACTAAGAAACTGAAGCCTTTCAAGAATTCGCGTGTTACTTTACTTCTAGAACATTGAGTCGGGGTATTTCTCAAAACTGGAAGATGATCTTAGTAAAGATAACACATTGTAATATAAAGCGTGAATCAATCTAATTCACGGCCTCCCCTAAATAAGCTGTAAGAAAGTAAATACGATATTACCTAGTAACTTGTAGTCAAACGAGAAGTTTCCGTGACGAGTAACAGTGATGTATACCAGCTGCTGGCACAACAGAGGTGCTATATTTAATGGACATTAAACGATGAGCTGTATTACATATCATTACAGTGTCTTAAATATCAGTCATTGGCCATCTGCCATATTTTAATGTATGCAATATAACACATATCTGTCTCATTTTGAAGGTGTCAAGGTCAAGATGCGACCATGAAAGAAACAGGATGTTTTTGAACAAGTTATACACCATTTTACACCCTTGTCTCCGCTCTGTAATTCTAGAAAAGTAACTTACAACACTCGGATACGTGTGTCGTCTACCCCACATGAGGTGTCGTAGCAGATCAATAGTAAAGCGCATTATTAGTGCACTGAGTCAATCACATACAGTGGCACACGTGCGTCGTGCCGTGTAGAGCTCACTTTGTATCAAATTGGAAACCTACATTGGAAACCTTCTGGACCCACATCGGGTAATAACGATGTGTGCAACACATTCCGAACACATTCCGAACACATTCCGGACACATTCCGGACACATACCTTGTAGTAGTTGGGAGGTGAGGCCACACCAAAGAACCCCATGTCAGGCATTGCAAACCCGAAGGAAGCTGGACTGGTAATGTTAACTGCTTGTGTGAACCTGTTTGTGTCTCCTGAAATTAAATAATTTGATGTACAAACCGAAAACTAGATTAGTCAGAACATTGTAACAATGTGTAAGTATATGTAGGTAATCATTACCCTTTGTTAGAGATGAAGATATGTTACAGTTACAGTTGGGGTATAAGAGATCATGCCTTATGTAATGTTTCAATGTTTCAATAGAAAGGGAGCTACCTTCAGTTTCAAGATCCGTGAAATCAAAGCCAGCTGAGTTCTCAGAATTCCCCGAGTTGGAGTTTGAATACTTGCGTGACCGGGGTGTGCTTGCCATTCCTTCTTTTGCTTCATCAAACGCAGTCTCTGATCGAACATCTGAGCTGTCTACATCGAAGGGGTCTGTTGCTGCTGAGTTGCCTGCATCAGATATACCTTTTTAACAGAAAATTTGTTATAGTAAAACCCCGATTCACAAACCGCCCATTTCTGCGCCCATTTCCTTTTCCCCAAACTTAGCAGTAAATCGGGGTTTCACTGTATATCATTATAGAAATTAGACTACATATTATATGAATTATTCATACATCTCAGATTTCAATCTGAAGTCATTTTGAGGACACTATTCCTCACACTTCTAAAATCAAACAGATGGTACGACTGGCCCAATTCAGTGAAATATCCACAAGAACTAACGTACCTGACCCGGAGAGAGCATCAGGCTCACGGTCGCGGTGGTGGCCTACAATAGGACTGTATTCATCAGGCAGGGTATATTCGGACCAGGGGAAGACAAGATTCTCTCTGACGTCCTGAGTGGGACTGGATGTCAATACATTTAATATATTTGCAGACTGCAGTGATGATGAATAATAGTTTATAATGTGCTCGGATAGTGTTTGTGTACGCAAATTCGAATCAATTCCATTACAAAATTTCTTCTTTTAAATCACTATCTGTATACCTTGCAGAAGCTGTTGTTATTTATGGTTGGGAAATGGGAATTGTGATAACTGTCAATGCTGAATCAGCTGCATGGTTTATGTAAATCTAACATAGATCTCCTTTTCAAGTTTCTACCACACATTCGACCAACTTTGATGGATATAGTTTGATTAACCATATGATGATAATGATTATATGAACTAACTGTTTTGTTAATAATTACGAAAGGCTCTGTGCATCACCTTGTATCACATGTACACAGCTTAAAGACTTGAAAATATCCGGTAACAATGTTTTTCAAAGATTGTTTTAGCTTATGTAACATAGAATCAAAGAAAATAAAATCAAAGAAAAATACCAACAAATTTTGCCTCAACACATGATAACTAGCACTTGAAATGCTTTGCAATCTATTTTTACCATAACTAACACTAAACAAAACTAATGCATGCTAATAAAGATGTTAAAAATTGAAATCATGCATAAGCCAAAAATGCAGTCATCGAAAACCAATATGACACAGCTAAAGACAATTAACCCTACATCACCCTCGGCCTCATGTCTCAGTTCCAAGTGACCAAACAAAACTGGGTTGTCCGGGACCTGTGTGTGTATATTCAATTACATCACGTTTGTTTGGTCTTGACAAAAGTTCTAACAAAGTGGCCGGGCCTTAATTTAACTGTACCCGGCAAAACAGTTGACATTGGGGATATACAGTAAATAGAGATCTGGCAGCAGAATGGCACAACTCGAACTCCAAGCTGTCATTCATATCACATGACTTTCTTTCAACCAATATTAAATTAGTTCAATGTATAGCCATAGGTGCATGTCAACTATTTAGCCTTATACTGTAACATTAGATCACGCTGTTTTTAAAATGTACAATGTGATAATATATCAAGTTGAAGAAAAAAACATGTAATGAGGTGATCATTTCAATTTTGAATTATTGAAGTCTGTTATTTATAAAGTGTCTTTCTCAGTGATACATTTCACCGCCATTTTATGGAGGAAAAGATCAAGGTTTGGAGCAACCATGTCACATTCTACTGCAACTGGCAGTTAAGAAATGCTGGAAAAAAGTTGATATAGATTTTATAAAGTTTATTTTCACACAAAATGAGCAATAAGTATAAGTAGTGAATCTGTATTGTCTTACTGTGAAACCATTGTCATCAGGCAGAGGTCCTCCTTCAGCCATGTCACAAAGCCTCCCTCGCAGATCAACTACATAGCTGGAGAATAGATAATTTAGTTATCTTTCACAATATTGGAGCTTTAGCTAACACCTTGATGTCATAATGTTAAAATTCCTATTTCAGAATATTGTATTAAAATTTAGCAGCATTATTCATATAAACACATCTTTGAAATGGTAACATAAATAATTGAACTAACTGTCCATTAATTATGGATATAAAATAAAATATTTGTTTTACTACCACATGACATATTGTGTATTATTGTACAGGTCTCCTACTCTTTTCACCGTTTATCACAGTTTCCCGATCACCAGGCGCAGGCTGAGGTGACCCTGGGGCTGCTTAATCGTCAGCTCACCCCAAAATCAATCATTGAATTACTTAGTACTCACTTGATGTTTGACAACAACCTTCATAGTTAAAGTTGGTGTATTCAAATTATGTGCTAGTAATATTTTCAATATTACACCAATCTTGATAAGACGAATATTTAAACGATTCAAGAGCTCCAGCAACTCATTTCAATCAATACATCAAAAATGGGGTTGCAGTCGAAATTTTTAAGTTTCGTATTTTTGGTTACTGTAACAATCTCTTCATTTGTCAAGATTTATTCCTGGGAACCACCAAGAAACATCAGAAACAATTGCCGGCCCCCAAAAACCTTCTTGAGAACCCCATAATAAGTCAAAATTGGAGTACAACTGAACGAGGCTGACCGAATTAATCAATCAGTGTATGCAACTGAGAAAAGTTCGAAACATAATCTTAAGGAGGAACTGTAAGCACTAACGAACGCAGGACAGGGAAAAATGGAGGAAATATCTGACGTAGTGAAGGAATATAAGCTTAAGCATTAGAAACAATTTTAATACTTAAATTCACATTCAAGTTGCTTTTGAAATAAATAGTCAAACTAAAAACTACCAAATCATCACAGTGAAAAATAAATTAAATTTTAATTTTGTTGCAGCGCTCAACTTTTATTGAGTAGTAAGGGGTCGTTGACATATTACGATGGCAAGTGCTACTAAGTAGCGGTGGCCGGGCCAGATCATTAACAATGGTCGATCATATCTTCGGTTCCTTGAATGAGATCATTCTGAAAATTGGTGAAGACCTTACAATCGTTCACATATTACGTAATCAGCCGAGGGGGGATTTCAAATGCTTACGGTTGATTACGGGGGGGTGGGGGTTTAGTCGTTGATTACGTAATCAAAATTTTAATTTTTTACCGATTTTCGAAATACCAATTGGACAATTTTTGTTAATTATGTAATCAAACGTTTTTGTTTAGTAAATGCTTTGTTGACGGATGTTACTCGTCTAAATTTCTTCGAAGTAGCGCGCGCCGCTTTCTTCTCGAAATTTTATGGCCCGAAATGTTATGGCCCGATGGCACGTGCTAGGAAGTGGCGCGCGCTGGGCCAGATCATTAACAATGGTCAAGTGCTTTGCGATTATTTCATTCATTAATCCGTTGTGATAGCTTTTAATGAATAAATGGCTTAACATGAACATGTAATAGATAGTAATAAAAATAAATCAGTAATAAAATTAAATCAGTCATAAAATTAAATCAACGACAAAATTACACAATAGCTATACCATATACGTTTAAGAACAAATAGCTCTTTCAAAGCAGCTTTTACAGCGGGTATTGTCTTCATGCTTGGGAACTAAACAAATTTAGTCTTTATTTGTGATTACGGGGGTCAAACCTTGATTACGTAATATAGGGTACGGGGGGTTCTTGTCATACGCTGTATGACCCGCCGCGCACGAGTGCGCGGCTCCCACTGTATCGTAGAAACTCTACAGCATACAGGGGAAACGACCGTGGGGTCACGACTTGTAGCGCGATGCACTACTGGGCCGCGCCGCGCATATTCTCGCAACCACAGATCGGCGAGATGATATGCACCATTGGGCCTCGCCGAGCTAGTATAGGAAAGATTGACATCGTATAGGAAGGATTGACATCGTGAATTAAGGTCACGACGTGATACTAGGGGGTTCGGTTTTGATTACGGTTGATGAGTACGGAGGGGGGTAAAAATTGCCAAAATATTGATTACGTAATATGTGAACGGCCCCAAACTGTCCGAAAGATTTGGTGGATATCGGAGTTGATATTTATAATTTGATGAAAATGGGACAAAATGGGGTAAAATGCACTGCTTTTAGCTGTAACATAATGTTTGATGGTTGGATATGCTTTAAATTTTTCGGACACACTTTCTTTGTAAGTCTATGAGTAAGCTTACCAATTTTTGTTAAAATTGGATCAAGGGAAGGTTACTCAATACGCATTTGTTTCAATAATTTTGTGCTGGCCGAAATTAGCGCTAAAAAACCATCCTACAGTCGGCACGCGCGGCTCACTGTCGATGGCGCACTACCGGTACCTAATTACACAGCATGAAAATCATTTCTTGACAAGTTATGAGTTACCTGGGGACCCCAGGCTATTATGTTCATAAACAAAAAAGATTTGGCGGAATGACAGGCTGAGCGCGGCCCGGCCCAGTAAGTTATGAGCAAATAACCATTTCCATACGCGCGCATGTGACAGGCTTGTTCAACGATATTTGGGTTGTCCATGATTTGGGATTCGAGCTAGTTTTGGTTTTAAAGTAATTTTGAAGATAATATAAAAATTTGAAGTACAAATATCAATATGTGCACTTAATAACTTTTAATATTTGCCATTAAAATCGAAATCAGCATTTACAAATGTAAGCTGCACCACGATTACCGTCAACTACATATTATTTTGTTGTTTGTAGGTGTAGTAAAACGCTTAACCATTGTTAATGGTCTGGCCCGGCGCGCGCTACTTCGTAGCACGTGCCATCGGGCATTTCGAGAAGAAAGCGGCGCGCGCTACTTGAATGTGTATTACTAATACTAATAGGCTGACCCGGCTTGATTGACGATTTTAATCCTTTGAAAAGGCAGAACAATGTTTTGCAAACTACAAAGGTAGAATTATTATTGATAGTTCGATCTCGCGGCTACTTCGAAGAAATTTAGACGAGTAAGATCCGTCAAGTAAAACCTCATATCAAACCTACCAAGACCAAAAACGTGAGGCGCAGTCACACACCTAATTGGACTCGTCGACCGTCTTGGATTATTATATATTTGGAAAAATTAAAAATATTTTACGAGTATCACCCGTTTATGGTTAAGTTAGCATACTATTCTGTATTCGCAATTCACCACAGAAAATAAAAACTGTTTAGGAATTAGGATTGCGTTGATCATTGATACACAACATTGACAACTCACAACAATGAACTTAAAAATTTGTTATCTGTATAAATATAACAATTATAATGATAGTATATTAGATCAAATTACAATTATTATCGATACCAATATTTTCAAAATCTAACAAACAATGGTAATGATCACCTCAAACTCAACAATCTTGTAGGTTTATAACCTACCAGGACGCGCGCCGAGTTGGACTCGTCGACGGTCCTGTCCTGACGGTCCTTATATATAGAACAGATATTTTACGAGTATCACCCGTTAACAACAATCTCAATTAATTTTCACATTTAATGTTTAATGTTTCAATCTTGCGTTTAAACATAAAAGTATGTTGTGTATTATAATTAGTATTGATTTGTTTAGCTCCCCAACCGTTTTACTTTTTATTTGCTCATACATCATTGATCATACGTTTTTTATACATGATACAACACATGGTTTACTCATTTAGCTTAAATATGTGTATTATTTATTGGCTGTTAGTGTTAGTTAGACAACAGGATTCGTATAATAGCAGGGGCACACATTAGCGTGGACACGCTGACAGTACCATTAGAGCGTTGCAATGTTACCAAGGTGAAACAACTGCTGGCTTTATACCATGCTTGCGTCGTTTGTTGGTTCGGTGCCAAGAGAATCCATATCCACAGCGATCTTCCTGAAAATAAAGATTACAGTGTAACCGGTAGTTACATTTCTCGCTCTGGCGGTCCCAGTCATTTCATAACTAACGCCTCATTATTATTCTCGATAATGACCGTTTCGGCGACGGACAGTGCACAGCGTAAACAGTAAAGACGAAGTTGAAAGTACACATGATGCATGACAGTTCTATTCGGGCAACGGGGAGGGTTTTATTCACGGCGGGGCTTTAATTAAGCCGCACGGCAGAATCACATGACTGCCGACACTCAATAGTGCAATTTACTAATTTATTCTATCAATACCATCGTGTTCAGTAAACTAAATTTCTTCTAATTAAGATTTATTTTTATCGAGCCGAGCACAAACCTGCATGGTGTACCAGGGACTAAGAGAATTGTGAGCAACAAAGTGTCGAGCTTTGCGTGTCTTGTTCGGAGGATGCTCCAGTAAGATTTTAGGAAGAATACTGTTCTCAAGCTGCAGGAGAAAGGGTTACACAGCAGTCAACAAGAGCATACGCAACACAAACATTAGAATACCAGAAGAAAAGGAAAGTGACTGGTCTGTGGTCGCTTTCATGAACAATATGCTGGGTACATCCTACATGACTAATCCAACGACTCACTCTGCAACATAGATTTGAAGAAAGCCAGACATTGGAGAAATCTTTCTTGCACGTTCGGCATTTTTCGAGTGTCCGATATGTACTAGAAGTAGGCATTCTGCTCATACCGCGTCTACAAAACCTAGAATCGCACAAAAATCTCCCACAGCAACTTTCACTGCAGCACAACGGCCCACAGTAAGCGGACACGTGACACCACGTTCACAGCTCGTATCACATGACAACCCCACGTGACGGGATATTTCACAGAACCCCACAGAGACTGTTCAAGGGAAGGTGGATTATCTGCTTGTTAAGTCAATCTTCTTAACCGGTCAAGTCAGGTCTTGTTTGTTAGAGGAGTGACAACTTATCTACAGAGTTAGTGTGTCACGTGACTAGCTCTCCGTTGATTAAAATGCTGTTGAACGTTCTTTGGAACATATGCAGCTTGTAGGTTTTAGATGAGATTAAAAAGACAAGAAGCACTCGAGCGGTTTTAGTATTTGGAGCAACTTGAAAATCAAATATATGAATATTTCATTTAAGTTATTTTCATTCCTACATAATGAATGATAATGAAATGTGGTTCTATGCTCAATGTTTTTAACACTCACTAATTCTCACACTTACAAAATCAAAGGTTTGTGAAAAGATCCAAGACTCGAGTATCAAACGTAAAATTGTAAAGCCTCACACATTTAAAGACTGCTCTAATCTTTAGAGGCAAATCATCTCTGATCAACTTTCAAAAGCAATAAATATAAGTATGAAAACAAACACAACATAGTTGTCATAAAATAATTTGCATTGCTCACAAAAATAATTTTGTATAAAATAAAACGAGCACGAGCCCAAACACTCACTATACCGAAACGTTCACAAACATCATCTCACACAGATACACATTGTAGAGGGCACAGGTTTTAGATTCAGCTACCCAATTTGTCTTTAAGTTCATAGATTTAGATTAAAAAGGTTTCACAACAACATATTGGTGACATAGTAAATTTTTGAACCCACTCGGTGGCAAATTATCACCTGGACACATCCTGTGGAGACTGTAAATGACAATATTTGTGAACTTTCCAATATTCATGATCTGTCATACTTCAACCTAACCAAACGCACAGCAAATCGAACAATCGCTACCGAGTCTGTTAAACAAATATCTTCAGCACATTAAAAGCGTTACTTTAATTATATCATAATGGATATGACAAGGTCATTATAATTTAAGGTGTATAATAAGTTATAAAGCGGCGAGAGAGTCCTCAATAGCGGTTTGAGCGGCGTACAGCTTAGCCAGGAGGTTATTTTCTTGCTCGGTGCAAGTCGTCTTACTAATCTTATCTCCCAATACCTGAAGAGATGGATTATTATTCTGAGAGAAGGTACATTCTTATCTTCAATTTAAGCCAAGGAAATATTTCGGTCAAAGTGCTGTATACGGTCGTAATTATTGGTAAAGTTACGCATGAAAGGAAATAAAAAACTGGGGGTCGATATGGTATTATTGGTATTATTGGTACATTGGTCGAGTCTATGCGAAAGAATGTAAATGAACTAGAACAAGTCGTGAAAACAACTTGAGAATAACTGCAGACAAATTATCTGTGAGTCCCACCTTTTCGGCAAGACCGGAAATACTAGCAAGCAGGGCTTTTCTGTCTCCCTCACGACGAGTAAAATCAGCGACTCTGTCCGACAGGGAAGGAGATAGAGTGACAATCTTCTTCTGGAAGATAATGATGGTTATTTGAGGAGCTTTATCTCTCTGGGATTAATATTAAGTCTTTAAATCCGCACTGAGATGTACGTATTTGATCATACACAGCAGTGCCTATTTTATATTTAAATCTATCGCTAAATCTAACGATAACCTTCAATAGTTGAAAAACTTACGCAAACAGCCGTGGCCTCGTCGGTCAAAGTTTTGTACACTGCATCAATCTCCTTCTTGACGTTCTTAAAGTGTTTGCCGTCTTTCTTGGCTTTCACGGCGGCCAACAGTTCACAGGTTTCATCCGAAACGCTGCTCTTTACTTTTCCGGTGGTGGCGAATAATTCCTCTACTAGATAAGCAACCCTCTGTCGAGCCTCTTTGTTCTCGTCCTGTTGAAATTGAAAATGTTCAACCATGTCACCAGATAAATTTGGATTGATTGAGTACATTGTCAATTTTGTGAACTGTCTTTAGTTCTTAAAATGATTACAAATGTGTACTCATGAGGAAAATATCTATATCTTAGTTGTGAAACTGAATGTGACACAATACATAAACACCTACCACAGATATAGAGAAGTCCAGTCGAACGATAATGATAACACTAGCGAATATAACCATGAAGGCAATGACCACGAGCAGAGGCTCTTGCAGCAACATTATTGGATTGAACTTGTAGTAGATCTGAAATAATATAATGTGAGTTGTGACAGTCAAAACTTCAAGACTTGGAATTCAGCCCATTATAAAATGGACTTATGATATTTTTCCTAGAATCTACGTCACGTTAACGTTACTTATCGTATTTAGTTCAGGTGTATAATAATGCGCGCCATTTTGTGACACGTAAATTTCCCTTTTCTGAACTTAAAATATATCCCGACACTCATTCAAAGAGCCGCGCGTTCCAAATAACAATGCAAACGCGCAAAATTGTGACGTGGGGCAGAGCAGCGGTGGTTCCAGTATTTTGTTGTGACGTGTTCCACTGTTCCTTTATCTCGTCACATCGAACCCAAGCGGAGACAGATGTAACCCGACTTGCATTTTATAATTCAGATAAGATAACTAGAGAGTTAATGTTGAGCTGAACATCATTCACTGCATATTTCAGTTGACAGGGCCGATATATCTCTTTATCAAGCGCAAACTTGTCTACCAAATGGGTAAGTCGAATCCCCTTTGTTATTGTCGAGATAGATTCGAGGAAACCTTGGAGTTCCAACTTCACGATTAGCTTGAGAATTGCGATGAAAGATTTGAAAGAAAGTAAGTTTGTTCCACAATGGTTGCTGCTTTCTTATGCACAAATGAAGGGTGGATTGCAGTTACCGCAAATTACGTACACTCGCGAAACTCAATGTTAAGTCATTTTAAAGGTGTGTCCTCTGAGAGGACTACAGAAAAATATAAATGCTTGTAATGTTGCCCCACTGCACGGAAATCTTTAGTAAAAGGCGAAAGATTTATTCGTGATGCAATGAGACCAAGCTGCCTTCTTATCTGAAAACAGAGACCATACATTCTGTTCGAAATATATTCTTGTGTTTGATATCGTATACAAGTTTTCAAAACTTTAGAATCAAATAACACCAACTCACCTCAATATTCTTTATGTGATTCTCCTCCAAGTTTTTAGCTTTAAAAGTAAGGACTGGTCTGCCAAAGGTATCTAGATATGTCTTAACTTTACCGTCAGCTTCACGGACTATTTCATAGTTGGGGTACACTATCTCAAATTCACTGAAAGTTCCAATGTCACTAAAAGTGCACTATAATATTTGTATCTTATTCAATCGCCCAAAGTGAAGGAACAGAACATTCGAATTTTACTATCGAATCTGTAAAAAAGAAGCAAATGTTCTGAGAACCAATGTCACTGACCTAGCACCCTCTGGTAGAATAACACTGACTTCAGCCTCATCAATAACGAGGTTATCGTAACTGTGATCCACAAAAGGAAACTCTAACTTATAGTTCTGCCCGCTGTGAGACAACATCTCGTAGCTAGGGACACTGTAACCGATATAGTATTTTGTCTGCCATCCTCCAAACAGAGGGAAACGTGGCCTGATCTCCAGCTCGTTTGCGTCCTCTGTCTCTCTGAAAAGTTAAAAATGGTCAGAGTCGAATTATATGTTTTCTTATTGCTGGAATATTGCGATAGTTTTTATGACCACTGATGTAATTGGAATTGGGTTACATTACCCTAACTAGTGTAAAGTAAGTGACTGCCTGGTTTTTAACACGTCATATTTTCAGCTAGGAGCAATCCTAAACTAGTCTGGCTGACCCAGTTCAGGTTTCAGAACTCTTCGATATACAGTATAGATATATGAGAAGACGTCTAATAGTTTAATAAAGAGTGACAATCATTTGATTTTGTAAACTGAACTTTGGAAACGTCAAGAAAAATAGGGGTAACATAAATACTCATCACTCAAATGTCGCTTGTAAATAGGAACAAACCTAAGATTACTGGTGGAAATGTTGCCAATGTCGTCCCGGTAGTAAACATTCTTAGAAGAAGCGGGCAGTACAGTTCTGAAGGATTTCACAGCAGTTGGGGCACCTGTAAATGAAACATTACAATACATCGTTAATGCTGTACAATGAAGTTGGTATCGGATATCACTGAAAATAACACCCTGCCCGCTTGATATTGCGGTGTATTTTAGTTGCCACACTCGCAAGACCTAATTAGACGACAGTTTCTTTTCAACACTTCATTCTCCCATAGCAGCAGACACATTACCACACGGACTGGTTGGATTCGGGATCGAGCAACCAGGAAAAGTAAACCTTATTTCCAACAGATTGACTTCATACTCTGCAAGTCCAGAAGCAAGGCACTGCTAACTGATGCCAGGTCATATGCAGGTACAAAGCACCGCAGTGACCACAAACTTGTTGTTGCCAAGGCAGATTTTTCGCAGCGCTTCAATTTGTACAGGGAGAGCAGAGCATTTCAGAAGAGTTATAACACAACAACCTTGATTGGAAGCAAACAAGCTCAACAACAATATCAGCAAGAACTTCATCAGAAACTTGAGCAAACGGTATCAGATCCTGACTTTACCTCCAATAACACGGAACAGCAATTTGATATGCTTTTTGGTGTAGTTAAAGAAGCTGCTGTTTCCACTGTGGGTTTTCGCGAGCCACAGCGAAAGAGGAATCATTCCTCTGACAGTCAAGTTGTTAGCATGTCTGAAGAAAGAAAACAACTTTTACAACAACTGAATAACAACGAATACAGAGACAGGACAGCTCTCAGAGCTAAAATCAACAGGCTCTCAAACGACATTACTAAACGGTTGAAAACATTGAGAGTTGAGTTAGCAAACAGCCTAGCTGACTCTATAGCCACCATAGACGAAGGACGGAGAATGTTTGAAGCTGCTCGTCAACTATCAGGCAAACAGAAAACGGGTGCAGGCTCTGTGTCTGTTTTCAACACTGACAACCAACTGGTAGATAATGAACGAGACAAGGCTGAAATCATTCGCCAGTACTTTGAAGAACACTACACTGGACCTGACAGTGAACCACCACTAGAACCGTTCACAGGTAACCCTAGGCCCCTTCAAAACCCCATTACAGCGTTTGAAGTTGAGCTTGCGGCCAAGAAACTCAAGAACGGTAAAGCTGTTGGACCAGATGGGATCCCAAACGAGTTCCTCAAACACTCTCCTGAAATCTTTTTTTCCACATTTGCACAACTTACTAATCGATCCTTTGAGCTCCATGAACATGTACCTTCTTTCACAGAGGGATACCTTACTCCGCTCCAAAAACCTGGAAAGCCACTAGGCCCCCCTAAGAGTTTGCGCCCACTTTGCCTACTAAACGGTACTAGAAAGATATTGTCCATGATAGTCTTAAAGCGCATCCAAAGGCAAGTATCTCAGTACACTGGTCCTTGGCAGAATGCCTATAAACCTGGCCATAGTTGTGCAAATATCGTTTGGACCCAGCGAATACTAGTGTCAGTTGTCAAGGAAAAACGCTGGTCTCTTCATAAGATGGGCATTGACATGTCCTCTGCTTTTGATACCATAAAGAGGTCGGTATTACTTGACATTTTAGCTGATGCTGGTTGTAGTGAGGATGACATTCGACTGGTAAGGTATTTGCTCGCAAATACTAAACTGAAGATCAAAGTGAACTCAACAATATCGGGAGAGTTTATTGTCACGATTGGAGCTTTTCAAGGCGACAGTTTGTCTGGAAACTTGTTCACTCTATATCTGGCAGCAGCACTTTACCACCTGCGTGCTGTTATGTCCTATCTAAGACCTAACCCTCCCATAGCTGAGAATCTGTTACCCCTCGAGTGGGAGTACGCAGATGATGTTGATTTTACTGATGAGGATAAAAGCAATTTGGAGTCTTTGTTGCCAATATGTAAAGAGATATTGGAAGAGTGGAATCTTTTTGTCAATGAGTCAAAAACCGAGTTCACCCACTTCTATCTGGCCGGCAAGAACGAGGTTGATAACAAAGGAGAGACACTCAGAGGTAGAGAACCTTGGAGGTCATCTATCTCTTTAGGCTCTAAGTTGTGTAGCATCGAAGATGTCAAGAGACGATGTATACTTGCTAACATTGCTTTTCAGAACTACAAAAAAGTCTGGGAACAAGGTAGACGTATACCCTTGAAGACTCGACTCAAGATATATGAAGCACAAGTCGTTTCAATACTGATGTATAATTGCAACAGTTGGGCAACATCTAAACAACTCCAGTGCAGTTATACACGCTTAAGCCTCTGTTATCAGCAGCGCTTATCATCTCAACAACTATCTCATACTCGCAGCTACAGCTTGTTTTACGGATACTATACACTGTGTATAACTGATCAACGATATGCCGACAGTAGCAGAACGTTTCAAATTTGACTTAGTAGAGACCGATGGACAAAAGTTCCTACTTGATACCGTGAAACAGTGTAAAGTCGATTGTGTTCAAGAACTAAATCATGAGAGCGTGAACAAAATTGGTAACAAGGGGGATTTAGCGGCAAAGTTTTTGCAAGCCATGCAGCTCATTGAGAGACAGCATAACATGATCATAAATCAGAGGGTACACGTTAGTCAGTATCAGTCTGGTATGATACAGCTGCAGGACCAAGTTATAAAACTACAGGAGCAACTATTATCTGCAAAAGAAGGACTTTCTAAGGCGATAGAGTTTAACGAACATCTCAAGACTGAGTTTTTTGAGGGTGTTCAGAAAGAAGTCAGTTCAGTTAAACAAAGTTTTAGCGATGTGGTGAAATCCGGTAGTATCGAGAACTCAGCTGCGATTTCTACAGAATCCATTAAATCAGTTGCCAAGCAAATTGCTTTGGAGGAGGAGTTGGGTAGGAACATCATGGTCTTTGGGCTATGCGAGGAGGTCAATGAGGAGATCAATACAAAAGTCGCTGAAGTATTGGAATCATTGGGAGAGAAACCCCGAGTTGAGGCTTGTAGAATCGGCAAGAAATCACCGTCAGCTGCAAGACCGGTTAAAGTTTCCTTTTCCAGTTCTTCGATTGTGCAACAAATACTGAAGAAGTCGAGTAAACTGTGTGGAACAGAGAGATTTAAGAGGGTGTTCCTAGCTCCAGATCGTACAGCAGAAGAAAGAGCTCAGCGTAAAGAACTTGTCCTAGAGCTAAAAAGAAGAGCTGGTATTGAGAAGGACAAAAAACTCTTCATTCGTGAAGGGAAGATTTGTAGCCTTGAGAGGCAAAAATGAGTTTCTAAATATTTTTCGTGTTGTGAGCAAATCAAAAAGTTTAGCTCTATGAGTATTTGTCTTCTGTGTGCTTAGTTTTTGTCGAAGGATCTAACCATTTTATTTCACTTATACAAAACTGTATAGTTTTCAAGGGATTTATCTGGTTTTAGGCGAATCTTGTTCAGAGATCGCTGTTTCATTACTCTTAGTCAGCTGGTGCAGCCTTTATACATACTTTTATATGTATATTTACAATTTTAAATTGCTGTTCAATATCTATTTTTAGTAAACATTAACTGGGGTAGTAAAACCCAGTTCCCAATCAATCAATCCTTCAAAAACTTGATGTCTGCCACAGGAATCATCTCCGTATGATCATCGGCATGACCTACCCTAATGTCATACGAAATGTGACTCTATACAAACGCTGCGAAGTTGTTCCACTAAGTGAGCGTGTTGCTCGTGCACGGTGGAGAATGCTCGGTCACATCCTCCGCAGTGATAATAACTCACCTGCCCAGCTCGCCTTACATTTTGCTGTAGAGAGTCAGAGTTTGATGAGAGGTAGAGTCGGACGACACCAGTCAAACTTGTTAAAAACTATTTTGAACGATTTAAGTGACAGAAACTTTAGACTTGTAAATACAGACGATTTATACCATTTAAGACTTTTTGCAACAGATAGAAAAGCATGGAGAGAGTTAAGCATGATTTAGTGTATTCTGTGTTATTTTTCTCTTGGTGACTTATCAGGTCATCAAGATGTTCTTTATGTTCTATTTTTGATTTGAATAAAGTTATATAATATAATAATATGGTATTTGATATCAAGTTCTTGGACATTGATGTTGTAGAGCCCCGAAACAAATATCTGGCGTGAAGCTGGCACACCTCACCTATGAGAATTCCTACACGTGGTATTTAACCGTGTTTATCTGGAAATCTAACCTTTTCTATGATACCATATTCATTGGTGTGTCCTCTGAGAGGACTACAGAAAAATATAAATGCTTGTAATGTCGCCCCACTGCACGGAAATCTTTAGTAAAAGGCGAAAGATTTATTCGTGATGCAATGAGACCAAGCTACATACAAATCTACAAACCACGGCTATATATTGTGGATAAAATATATCCTTGTGTTTGAAATTTATCACACTTGACACAAATAATTTCAACTCGTAAATTCTTAAAATCATCGAATTGATGTGATACACCTGGATCCAAATCTTACTCATATCATAACGAAAGAAAATTGCTAACCGCTAGACAATAAGTAATTTTTAGATTTCAGCATTAATTTATAAATATTTATCATAATCATAATACAGATTTAAATCACGTGACATTATCAGACTGTTCATAGAATAAGCTACACAACCGGATGTGTTAAAAGTAACTTTTCCTTAGAAAACCTGATAAAGTTACTGATAAAGTTACTACTAACCAATAGGGTTACGCTGGAAGTCAAGTCTTGAGAATTGTGACTTAAGTTTAGCTCCAGTGTGTACAAGTTGGTAATGCTCCTCGACTGCTATGTTACCCCAGTGTGATACCTGAGGAACAGGGGCTTAATATCTCACTCTCATAACTTGACTATTAAATCCACGTTTTTGGTATTATATGTATGTATATATATTTTATATGTATGTATTTATTATATGCAAACGACGCCACCCACAATTTATATATATTGTTAGTCAGCCACTACTGTCAGTAAAACAACGCCTTGACTTCAAATGTCGGTAAAATATAAGAATATACCTTTACAGTCATCCTCAATAAATGTAATAGATTTGTAGTGTTGTAATTAGTTTATATATATGTATAATGTTTATGTATGTCAATTGCTAAATTGTGAAAATCAGGAAAAATTATCTGTTCAAATCAATGGCGAATATTAGCTACCAAGATAGTGCCCATATAAGACCATAACTCCAAACATCTGCTTATTGAAAATTAGTATTATGTAGTTTAAATCATCTCTCACCTCCACAATCCTCTTTAGAGTAGTGACAGTAAGGAAAGGGGAGTTGTTCTCGAAATGAATGGTAACTTTAGCACTAGTTTGAGCAGGTATGTTACTGTAAGGTCCGTATTTAACTGTCTGGCTCTCTTTGTTGCTGGGGCTGCGAGGGGTAAAGGACTCAATCTTACTGGAACCAAGGTTAAACTCTGAAAATTAAAACTATTAATTAAGTCATATTGAAACAACTTGTAATTATTGGGCAAGAGGATCAGAATACGTCCAGATTCTTCTCTTTAATATCAACAATATTCCTGAATCTGAAGACAATTTCCATTCAAACGTATGAGAAACTTACTAGAGAACTGCTCGACAGTGTTGTATACGCTGTAGTAATAAGCGTTGCTATGGAAACGAACTAGCTGGTTGTCAGGCTGGTTGATAGCACGAGGATAAGGCTCCAAGGAGTGGGTAAATGTTGTCATGACTACCAGACTTGTTTTACCTCCACTGCTTAGAGAGGAAGACAGAGTCGCCTCGTATACTCTGGGAAATATTATTTTGTTAAAACTTGCTCAATTTCTTAAAACGGATTGTATCCTTCATGATTTATTATTATTTATAATTTTGCAGTGCACATTGTTTTGACTCTATAAAGATGTAAAAACTATGATTGCGGTAAAGTGCCAGTCAAAGGTATTGGTATGCGGAGAATCTTCTAGCTGATATGCGCAATAGAACACTTAAATACTATACATATTATATTATACTATACATATTGTACAATATATATATATACATATAACATACCCATCAGAAGTTTTAGTGACGGGTAACTCGTTGCCGTGCTCGCTAACGGAGACGAAAGAGAGATGTTTGACAGCACTTGGGTCCACAACCACCTCGTACACCTCAACAACACTTGCTCCACTGTTCTCAACTTCTACCTCAGCTGTCACCTGTAAGTGTTGTGTTAATATATAGTGTTATATACCTTAAAGGGGGTGATGCAACGACCATTAATGACCATTAATGACCATTAATGACCATTAATGACCATTAATGACCATTAATGACCATTAATGACCATTAATGACAATGTCAGTTTTGCTAAAATTTCGAATACTGACATTAATGGTCATGTTTTTTTCCGCACTTCCTGGAACAAGAAGGACGGACACGAGGACCACTTAGAACCTACCTAAAGTTAACTAACAATAAGTAGACGGTACTTTACGTCTTGGAAGGGGATGAAAAGTTAATTTTACAACTTTCTCAAACACTGATATTACTACATATTACAACTAATATAACCCAATTATACCATAACAACAACGTTCTCCCAATCTAAACTTATTATTGAACCATCCTGGGTCTTCACCCAACACTGGGAAGACATATCGTGCTCAATACAGATCGCCACCGCAGGTCTTCTCTCTCCCGACCGAGCATTTCCCTTTCTTTGTGATGCTTTAGATGTCTTAACAGATATAGAAAGCACTTTGCCCTGCACAACCGTGCGCCTTCTTTTTTCATCCTTGCCTGTTATGAGTATACCAGTTATTGTTCCACCAACTTGCACCTCTTGAGCGTTGCATAGCTCTGGTTCTGCTAAACCTTTACAGACTGGGCGATACAACCCAATACTTGTATCCAAGGCAAGACCAAAAAATCTTTTCCTTCGGCTTTTCGCACCAAAGTTGGTCTTGCCTTGGTTACAATATTTGGTCACGACCTTAGTGGAGCTATCAACCAGCTCTTCGTCCTCATAATCAGAAAAATTGTCTTCACTCTCATGGTCTGATTCATCATCTGATTGTTGTTCACTACCATATGAGAGTGGAAATTGGAGACTCCGCCGTCTTTCAGAAATAACATTTCCATTATCACCTGAAAGATACGAACTTCCATGACTAGAAGAGGAAACAAAGAGTTCCTCTCCAATCTTGGATCCTCTTTTTAAGCTTTGGATTATAAGGTTACTCATCTTGACCGAACCTCCAAAATCAACAGCAATCTTTTTCTCTGGATGTTTGCTCCACTCAGAACGAAAGAGTGTCTTCCCCCGGGTATGAGCGGTTTTATGAACACTTGTACCACATTCAACATCAAGCGTATTCTCCACCTCTAATAGTCGGTTGTAACGACCCATGGCTTCAGGGACTCTTGTAGAGTCGATTTGTGTGCGTCTACCGGAGTGCCGTCCAACCCTGATTCGAGCGAAGAGTTGTTCATTTTGATCAGACGATAAAAACCACGGTACTACTGGTGCTTTGGGGTGATTACAAATCAAGTCGACAAAATACAAGACAAGTCCGTTAGCTGCGGATATTAAGTCTTTGAAGCTTTCTCTAGTTATGAAGTTCTCGCTGGTATTTAATTTCTTCGAGTGTTCTCCCCACAGAGTGAAGAACGTGAAAACAGTCCACGCATTTTCAGCTCTTTCTGAAACAGTCAGCGATTTGTCATAAAACGCTGCCAGGAGCAAAAACCCGGCCTTAAGATAGGCCGAGAGGCTCAGAAATCCTGCTTGTTTTAGAACATCCCATTTAGTCGTTAGCTCTGCAGCACACTGCGGGTTTTGTCTATCAGAGTGCTGCAGAGTTGTAAGGGATACAGAGTCTCTGAATTCTTCACTTTCCGTAGCGAGTTTAAGAATCATCCCCCAGTTTAGGGTGAATTTCGTGTCTTCGATCGAATCAGAATCGGCCATTATGATGAATCTAGTACTGAGGTAATGGAGACAGTTAACCAGTTTTTTCAACTCATGACAGATGTCCTGCATGGGAAAGTCTCCTGTTTTGTTGAAGTAAAATACTGGCGGGTACTCCAACTTCGACAGCTCGCTCTGACTGGCTGTTTTGATCCGTTCATCTGTATTGACCTAAGCCGCTGATCTCCGTACGAAACATGATTTCTCCCCTCAATTAGTCAAGGCTACTGCCAGATATTTCAAAATTTGAGATATCTTATGACCATTAATGACCATTAATGACCATTAATGACCATTAATGACCATTAATGACAATGTCAGTTTCGGAAAAATCTCAAATACTGACATTAATGGTCGTTGCATTACCCCCACCTTAAATACAAATTATAACAGATTAGGTCCTTATCTGTTATAAATTAATGATATATTTTTAAATCTATTTATAAAATGATCGCAGGTTTGGAGACAAAACAATTTAAGAAACAAACACAAGTTTTACAAAACGTTCTTTCTTTATCCCTCCTGGCCTACCACTGAGTCAGCTGTCAGTTACAGACTGTCAAGAACAATCTGCAGATCATTAACTGGACTTAATTGACATTTACTAACCTTGGCGATTTGGGTCGTCAGGTCCACAACTCGGTTAACATTTTTGTTCACCAACTGTGCAGTTGCCACAGCAACCAACACTGCCAACACCCACAGCCTCATCCTAATGAATACGTTTTTTAAAAGAAGGATACACACTAAATTTGGTTTACAAAATGTTTAGCCAAACATTTGATTGAATCCCATTGAATGTATGGTTAACTAAATATTTCGTTCTTAAAAGGTGCTCATCGTGTCCATATTCTTATGATAGCATTTAGTCAAGTGGATAATTATAATAAAGAATACGGCATTTTGTTTTCAAATGAAATATAATAATAAATCATTATAAAACTTAATACAACACAAATAAAAGTCAGTTTTGTACATAGTTTTCAACTGATATTGCTTTGTCAATCCGAAAATATCGTTTCTTAAATGGTATATAGCGGGAGAGGGACTGTAGTACTGTCAATCACACGAAACCAAAGAATGCATACAATTATAGTTTAGTATGATGTGCACAAGAGCAACAACATATTTCATAAAGACAACTGAATGTTTATTTTGATAACACTGATGAGGGAAAGAAATGATTGTTTCGATTGGAAACAAATTTGCAGCAACTCGTGAGAAACTGTACAGAAAACTGTACATGTACCTATATACCATTTGTACCCATAGTCTACGTTCAATCTGGCAACTGATCTTAACTTCCGACAATGATGTTGTTGATGGGGATATGGATCAATTTGACGAAGAATCCAATGAAGCCCATGATGCAGAATCCAATAGCAGTTGCAGCAGCTATCTTCTGAAACTCTTTACGATCAGGTTTGGTGCATCTTTTGACTAGTCGGCAGGAATCTTTGAAGAACTGCTGGGCGGGCTCGGACATTCCAAGAATCTGATCCATGTCGAACTTTGTTCACTAAAATATATTGTATGTTATCATATTGATGGTAATAAGCAAGTGAAAAGTTGGAGTCATGAATCCCAAAATTAAGCTTGCAGTTTTGTTTTAAATTAAGTGATTTGAAATTTAAAGGAAATAAATTTATAGGAAATAAGAATGAAATCGGAATGATGCTCCATGTCAGCATTTTGGATTAGTAGATTAAAAGTTAAAACCAATTCAGTTTTGGCAAATGTCCGACCAGTCGTTGGACCAGTGCCAGGCAACAGCTGATGATCTGAGTTAACCATTTCAAAACATTATGCAATGGAATGGATCACCTCGATTTAATATTTCTAAGAAAAAATAGTGTATAAAAAGCTATGTAGGAAAACTGATCTTTTATGTTGCTGGATGATGCAACTGATCAATCGTTTAATCTGCCCTAAACTACTCTGAGTCTTTTGATGTATTTAAAGCACTTGGATTAGTGGCAGCAGTTATAAACTGGCCTAGAAAATTACTTTTTTGTCAAAATAGATCTTTTTGTTAACAAAGGAAACATATCTACAGAACTAATATTTGGCTGAGGAAGAAACACACAGTTATCCATTTGTAGTCTCCAAGTTTTGCATTTTGCAATGGTAGCACAGGCTTAGGCATACAACTATACTCAATAAGTCAACATATTGTGTCATAATGTAATATATTGAATCACAATAAAACATAATAAAACACAAGTTTCTGTCCATTAAATAGAGCTTTTAACTGGTCTTCATCTGTAATAGCAAATGTTTCGAATTTAAAATGGTATATAGAAGGAAGGGATTATGAAAACTTTATTGTCAATCAAACATTACCCAAATATTGATGTACATTTATAAAATAGTTTGGTAAGTTGTAGATAAAATTCAATCTATTTATGTCAAAACAGGATCTTTCTTGTTTACGAAAATTTTATCGTTTACAACAGAATGGAATGATTGTTTCAATAAGAAATAATGCTAAAACAAATCGGGAGAACTGTACAGAAAAACTGTACAACGGACCTTTATACCATCTATACCCATAGTCTAATCTGGCAACTGATATTAACTTCCAACAATGATGTTGTTGATGGGGATATGGATCAATTTGACAAAGAATCCAATGAAGCCCATGATGCAGAATCCAATAGCAGTTGCAGCAGCTATCTTCTGAAACTCTTTACGATCAGGTTTGGTGCATCTTTTGACAAGTCGGCAGGAATCTTTGAAGAACTGCTGGGCGGGCTCGGACATTCCAAGGATCTGATCCATGTTTAACTTTGTTCCTTAAAGTTGATTTTATATTATAATGTTGACAATTATTCAACAAAAAAGAGACCAAATAAATTCAGTGCAGCGATAAAAGATTACTTGGCAATGAATCTCGTAAGAAAGAAGAAAAAGCAATAGAAAATCATACACACAATCAAATCATGTAGACAGTTGTTGATATTTCCTGATTCCTAATATATTCCTAATATTCTCTATAAAAGCTATTGAACTCAATATTTCCAATAATAGCCCATATTAAATACCTGAGCGTAAGGTGGGGGCATCAAATCGCCGTTTGAAAGTGGGACAATTTAAAAAATGTCACTAAAACTATGTACATATTTTTACTGAGACAACTGCGGTCAAGAATACAGAAGGGAAAATGCATCGTTTTCTGATTCTGAACAGAAGGGCAACTGTCTCAACCCCAAGACCATAACAGGTGACCAAGCTTGGCTTGACGTATCTGCTAGATGAGTTTGGACTCCATTTGATAAGACCTATCTTGACAATTAGGGTCACACCCCAATTGCTTATCATACAGGGGGGGTGTCATGCCCGTCTATGTCCGCCTATGTCCTGTCCTTTTTGGATTCTATGAGACAACGGACGTGTTTTTTGGGACATTGGCGGACACGGACGGACATTGGCGGACTCGGACGGACATTGGCGGACTCGGACGGACATTGGCGGACTCGGACGGACATTGGCGGACCGGGACGGACATTGGCGGACTTGGATGGACATTGGTGGACATTAGCGGACATTGGTGGACATTAGCGGTCAAACATTTCGAGGACTGACGAGTACTGAAGAGTACTGAAGAGTACTGAGGAGGATGACTGAGGAGGATGACTGAGGAGGATGACTGAGGAGGATGACTGAGGAGGATGACTGAGAGGGAGGAGAAGGATCAGGAAGACCCAGGAGGAGGAGGAGGAGGAGGACCCAGAAGGAGGACCTAGGAGGAGGAGGAGGAGAACTGAGGAGGATGACTGAGGAGGAGGAGGACTCAGGAGGAGGACTGAGGAGGACTGAGAAGGAGGAGGACTGAGGAGGATGGCTGAGGAGGATGGCTGAGAGGGAGGAGGAGGAGGAAGAGGAGGAAGAGGACTGAGGAGGAGAAGGAGAAGGACTGAGGAGAAGGAGGACCCAGGAGGAGGAGGACCCAGGAGGATCAGGAGGAGGACCCAGGAGGAGGACCCAGGAAAAGGCCCCAGGAGGAGGAGGACTGGGGAGGAGGAGAACTGTTGAGGACTGATGAGGAGGACTGAGGACGAGGAGAAGTAGGAGGAGGACTGAGGAGGGGAGGAGTCCAAGAGGACTGGGGAGGATCAGGAAGACCCAGGAGGACCCAGGAGGAAGAGGAGGAGGAGGACCCAGGAGGAGGAGGAGGACTCAGGAGCACTGACGATGACTGAGAAGGAGGAGGACTGAGGAGTACTGAGGAGGATGGCTGAGGAGGATGGCTGGGAGGATGGCTGAGGAGGATGACTGAGGAGGATGACTGAGAGGGAGGAGGAGGAGGACTCAGGAGGAGGACTCAGGAGAAAGAGGAGGAGGAGGACTTAGGAGAAATGAGAAGGAGGACTGAGGAGAACTGAGGAGGAGGAGGAGGAGGAGGACTGAATAGGAGGAGGAGAAGGAGGGGGACTGGGAGAGGACTGGGGAGGAGGAGGACTGATGAGAAGGATGAGGAGGAGGACCCAGGAGGAGGAGGACTGAGGACCGAGGAGGAAGAGGAGGAGGAGGACCCAGGAGGAGGAGGACTGAGGATGAGGACTGAGGAGGACTGAGGAGGATGGCTGAAGAAAACAACAATTTCAAGAAAACAACAGTTTTATTTAGTATCAGTTAAAGCAGACAAAAACATATTTTATATATATAACTAGTGCAAACTTTAGACCATATATCTTAGGGGACTTGGAGTAGCAAGAGAGTGACCAGAAAGTATATGTATACTTTTAGCAAAAATACGTCGAAATGAATCCAGGGTGATACAGGATCTGAGAGTGCAGACCATAAAGTTTACGCACCCACCCTTGCCTCCTGAATTCTTGGTTGGAAAGACAATTATGCAAAATTGGTCGTTTATACTCCAAGTCCCTTTGTTAATAGAGGTAGTATTATTTATGTCTGGAATTAGCTTCATTCAATAATAACAATATCAATATAATCAATATTAATATCAATATCAGACTAAACTATCAAATAAATAAATTATCAAATATCAATTATTAATTCACTCTGATTAAAAAGTTATAAATTAGGATATCTAATATTTAAGAATTACAACTACAAGTTGTTAAAAACGCCCAAAATAGATCTGAGATATTTTCAGTCTGTAGTACAATAATGATAGCAATAGTTTAAATTATGTGCTGCTGCAATTAGATTAAATTACTGTAACTTAAAATTGTTTGGAGTCCAAGTCTCTTTTAAGTCAGCAGCCTGTGATTGTATTAATAGTGCTTTCGTTCTCAATCTTATCAAGTTAATGGAAGTTTCTAGACAATTGCTTGAAGTTAAAATTTTTTTATGAACAGTGTTCCAAAGCTTGGCTGCATTAAACAAAAAGGTATTTGATTTATTTAGAAGAATAACTGTTAGACTCGTTGCACGGTTTGAAATATTGATAGCCTCATAAAGGGAGTATGGGCAGTGGTACTTGATAATCTTAGAGAATTCTAAAATACAGTGATATTTGTACAAGTTTTGAGCCGTAAGAATTTTTAACCTATTAAAAATGGGTTTCGTATGCTCCTTTTCAAAATGTTTATGGCCTAGTATTTGCATGCCATATGGTCTAGTTCTTGCACATGTTGATTGTTTATCTAGATATGAGTCGAGATCACCAAAAAGGATTCTTATACAGTGCTTCTGTGTGATAAAAAGACTATCATTTGACCGTTCTTTGAGGACAACTCCCCAAACACTTATACCATAACTTAGATGTGATTCAAATAGAGCATTATATATTTTTAAATATAGTTCAGCAGGTATCGAGTGCCGAATTCTACAGATTGCACCAGTCATGGACCTCAGTTTTTTACGGATGTAGTGCATGTGGGCAGACCAGTTTAGCTTACTATCTATAACAACACCTAAGAATTTGGTATCCTTGACTTTAGTGATAACCTTACCATTGATGAATATTGATCTAGATTCATCTAGCAGGGTAGCAAATGGTCTAGTCCGTGCACAAGTGTCATCATATTCAGAGGCGGGTTTAAAATGGATGTAGCAGCATTTTGACATGTTGATATGAAGTAGATTACATTTCATATAAATCGAGACATGTTTAAGCACTAAGTTGGCTTTTTTGTATGTTGCTTCTCTAGACGGTCCTGATATGAAGATATTAGTGTCATCAGCATAAAGTACAAATTTCACTTCACTGTCTGAAAAACAGTTTACTATATCGTTCATATACAGTAGGAAGAGTAATGGCCCTAGAATTGACCCTTGAGGAACCCCGAATTCCACATCCATTGTTTCTGATGGTACATCGTTATACATCACATACTGCTTTCTGTTAGTCAAGTAGCTTTTTAGTAAAGTTAGTGCTGTGCCCCTAATACCATAGGAATTTAGCTTGCTTAGAAGAATATTGTGATCAAGGGTGTCAAAGGCTTTGCTCAAGTCAATGAATATGCCTAGGACATGTTTATTGCTAGCCAGGGACTTTGTAACAGAGTCTATAGATTTGTGTAGAGCATGGGCGGTAGAATGGCCTTTTCTAAATCCAAACTGTGAGTCTGTTAGTACACCTTTAGATGTGAAGAAATTATAGAGCCGTTTGTAAATGACCTTCTCGAAAATTTTTCCAAATAAAGGTAATATTGATACAGGCCGATAATTTTCAATACATTCCTTATTGTCTTTCTTGTAAATAGGAATAACTTTACCAGTTTTAAAAATACTTGGGAATGTTCCACTTTGTATACATATGTTGTAAAGCCTAGCCAAGGTACCAGCGATGAGCTTTGCCGATTTTTTTACAACGATTATAGGTATGTCACTTGCCTTGCCATTTTGAAAATCTCTGATGACCTCGATAATCTCATCTTCATTAGTTTCTTCTAGGTATATGGAGTCAGACACCGAATTAGACATGAATTGAGCAAATGATTCTACTGGTTCCAGAGAAATACTATTGTTCGACAATACATTTCTATTGAGATTGCTTGCAAGAGATGTAAAGTATTCACAAAATTTGTTAGCAATTATTCGTCTGCAAGTAATTCTCTGGCCATCTATGACAAAATCGTCCTTACATCTAGACATATTCTTACCACGGAGTTCATTGATAACTTCCCAGGTCTTTTTTGAGTTCATGCTGTACTTCTCGAATTTTCTAGTATAGCACATAGCTTTTGCCATATTTATTGAGTTTTTGAGAAACTTGTCGAATTCCTTGTAGCAGATGTGCTTGTTTTGATCCCCGTCAGGTAGTTTTAATGTACAAGTCTTCTTCCATTCGAAATACAACCTAGCTTTCTTGTCTATGGAATTAATTAGCCCCTGGGTAATCCAAGGGTTAGTTATGCTGTTGCGTTTAGTGGTTCTAGGAGTAAGAAGTTTGCAAGACAAATCTATCTTTTCTTGAAATAACTGCATGAAAGAGTCAAATGTGTCACAGCTGTGCTGGAACCTATCTATATCGTTTTCTATTTCAAGACAGAGCTTCTCTAGGTTAGCATTACAATAGTCGTAGTGTATGGTAATTTTGTCTGGTGAATCAGGTTTAGGCACAGAGTTAGGGGGAAGCTCAACAAGAGTGAATACAGGGTGATGGTGGGAGATATTATCAGATATCACACCAGAAATAAGGGATTGGTCTACTACATTGGTGTGGATATTGTCAATACAAGTCCTGGAACAGCCAGGCATTTGGTGTGTTGGTACTGATATGGTTGGTGTGAAGCCGTTGTTGAATATTATTTCTTGGAATTTGTCCTCTGATGGAGATGGGTCTTTCAAAATGTTGACATTGAAAT